CACACGCACACACACACACACACGCACACACACACACACGCATCACCACTACAACAAAAACTTCCGCCATAAATATTGGAAATAAATTATTGTGAGGAAAAAAGCAGAATAAACTAAACGTTTGAAAAAAAATTAGAAGGAAATTGTTGAAAATATAACTTAACTGTTACTTGCACCGTATTACTTGCATTTATCACTCAACGAACGATGTTCGAATATTTGAATTATTTCCTGAAAATAAATTTCTTGGAAAGTGATTCCAGATAGAGCGAATAATTGATCAAAATCTTTTTTTAAATGTTTCATTATTTTCAAATAATTCAAACAAATTTTTGGCTCCCTATTGGAACTTATACCTCAGCTCAAAACTTGAATTTAATGACTAAAAGAGTTCACATTTAGTAAGAATCAGTCAATCAAATAATTTTTCAAAAAAAAAGATTGCAATATTTCAAATCCATGCATCTTTTTTTCCGTCTGAAGTTGACTTCATCGGACGAATCGAGAAAAAATTTTGAAATTAAACAAGAAAAAAATTTTTTAAAGTTTGCAATACAAAATATTACGCTCAAAAATAGATAATTATAAATAGATAGATACAATTGTATGTCCCAACATGTACGGCAAAATTAAGCCCAGGAAACACAAGGAACGAAAATTCAATTTCCAACATTTCACCGGTTTACTGAAATATTTCAATCTTCAATCCATTGTATTTTACTTCATTTGCCAAGTTTACAATTTTTATTGGAAAATCTACCATATTCCTTTTTCAATAACATTCATTCTATCACATCCATCATTTGAATTCCTCAAAAAATCTGAAATTCGTTCAGTAATTGCATTATTGCAGATGGACATAATCATTAAATGTCTATATTGCCAATGTTAAAAAACAAATCATACAGCTAATCATAAGTGCCTTTTACAAAATTCGATATAGTTTGGAAATTGTTGTTTTTATGAGATGATATGCATTACAGTGAAACAGCAACAGAAATCGTATAAAAGGTGATCTTTTGATTGGTTTTTTTTGTTTTTGTTTTAGGATGATATCTATTTTAGCAAAGCACTTTACTGAACAAAATAAACATTTGACAAACATTTGTTAAAAAAAGCATCATTTGGAATCCATAAAAAAAGAGAAAAGAAAATACGAAAGTGTTACATATCTTCACTTTAAAAGAAGAAAACGAGATAGAACTTTCATGATGGTGGTAATTGTAAAATGCAAAACAATTCTAATGTTCATATTCCGAAATCTGATTCCTGCTATGAATAAACTGTAATCGCGTTCCTTATTATTGTTAATTTGTCATTAAAAGATAATGAAAAAAATTCACAAATATGCATATATTACAATTCCAAAAAAAGAAAATCACAAGAATCCTTAACATATATCAAAAATTTCAGTTTACTAATTTCCCCGAAAGATGGGAATTTTTTAACATTGGAAATAATGACAATAGGTGTTATAAGATTTATATGGTAGTCGTAGTTGAAATGAAAATTACTTCGTCATGGAAATTGTGCTAAGGATGTCTTTGTTGTGAACTTCATAAGAAATTGCAATTACAACATAGAAATAAATATATCAGTATGGTGAATTCATTCCTAATTTCGTGTTAAAACTAAGCTTCCTTCTTCGTTGGTCACGATGGTAAAGTTTGATAAAACGAAGCTTGCACAGTTCGCTAATAATAACAATGACAATTATCCAGAGGAACGAAACTATTGTAATGTAAATATTGCAGTCAGAAATATAAATCAACAGTGAGCCACATGAAAGATTTGTGTATGCGATCTGAAAAGATATAAATTAAAGCCTGCTTGTCTTTCGTTTTATTTTAAATCATCTCCATTAGAGATTTTACTTTGTAATTTAAAGTGTGATATTATGTAATACAGCAAGGATAGGTTAAAATCAGAAAGATATATATATAACACGACAGTGTTATATTACCAAAACAAAGACGAATTATTCAAGTCAATTATCATTAAGAAATAAAAATGTCAATTCCACACCTGCACAAGAATGATGCAACATGTTGTGGCTACCCAATAATAATTATCTAGTGGACATTTCGCCCAGCAATTATTGCGAAAATGGACGAAACCCATTGATAAAGTACATAAATATAGAAGCAACTAAAAATGGAGCCATATTAGATATGATAACAAAATTACAGAGTAAAAATCTATAAAGAGTCCAATTATTATTCTATAATTTTAGCATCGCATGCCATATAATCTATGAATTTATGGCCTTTTTAGAAGAGTTCAACGTACATAAAACGAAGCAACGTGCTGGCCAATAATAATGGCATGATTAGTAGAAAATGAATAATTGAAACTTCCTTGTTGCTCGTACTTTTTTCCAATTATTATGACCTAAAAACATTATTTAGAGAGACATAAACCCTTGTTTCAAAGATCTCATTTAAATAATATTCTATCGCACTTATGAGCTATGAACAAAACAATTAGAAAAAAATCATATGCCTGTACGAATTCTGCAAAACATTTTTATTTATAATGAAAAAATCTAAGCTGAACTTACAGTGCTGTAATAAATAAGACAGACAATGACCAGAGATGGAAGAAAATTTATTAAGAAATGGATAACCGCACGACGAATGATACGTTCCGGAGCTGAGGAAATATTTTTTGGTGCTATTTCATTGCGATTTTCATCAAATTCATGAGACGAAGCCATCAGTGATAAGGACAGTAGCGGCACATATATAACTATGAATAAAAACACCTAAAATATGTCAATATTTTTTTATCTGCTAGAGATAAAACTGTTAATATGGTTTATTTTAAATAAATGAATAAATGCAGATTCGGATTTTTTTCAAACACATAATGAAAAAGGCTCGCTGATGATGAATGTACTAAAATCTTAAAGTATTCTTTACATACAAACAAACCTGAAAAACCGATAAGACATTCGGAAATAACAACAGAGTAAAAATTTGCTGCAGTGTAAGTGCTATCGATGAGAATATGAAAAATACAAAGGAGGAACGAAACGACCCCAACTGATATCGACAAAATGAGATCAATGAAATAAGATCCACGGTCTAGAATAAGCATATAAAATATTTCGAAAAAAAATGTTAGTGAAGAAAAGAAATAGTATTAAAGATTTATTTAAACTATCAGGGAACTGAATTGAAATCTTTGCAAGATGATCGTTGTGCCCTTCTGACCAATTTACTAGCTACGAAGCTGTCAATGATGCACATTTCTACACAAAATAAAACAAAACAGAAAACATAAAAATTAAGCAGACAGCTGTTGATCAAAAAATAGATTAAGAACCGAAGAATATGTTACCTACCACCAATATTTGTTCATAACCCTTCCACTTGTTGCATTAAAATACTTCTAATCTGGCAAAAATTTCTGACATGTCACTTCTTGTCAATTACTACTTTACCGGCAGTTTGAATCGGCAAAAAATTCTGTACAATAATTTGAGTACCTGACTTGGAAATACGACAATATCGCAACATAATCCCATGAGTAAAGTAGCAACAGTTGATGCTTTTCTCAACCCACTGTCATTTTGAGGAATTTTTCTGCTACACAAAGCAGGATGCTGGGGCTCGACAGTGATCGAACAGTTTCCCTATATTAAAAAAATCAAGAAAAAACTATTAGAAATTTGAAAATACAAAGAAAAGTTCCAGGATCCTGTCTAAAAAAAACTGAAATCAACATGCCTGACTAAAAATGTTGGTATTGAAATAATTTAATGATGATCCAACAACAAGCACCACTTCACCATAATCCTGAATTATAATGCCTAATTGCGATGACCTAATTGTAATGACAGTTAAGTATAATTCAAAAATAGAAAATAGTGATCCACTTTCCTTAAAAATAAAACTGAAATATTCCAGAAAGCATGACTCGAGCAATATAAGAAACTACAGAAATATAATTTGAGAGCGAAGACAACTTCACAGAGTATGGTTAAATAACTATGAGAAAGAACAATCAGCCTCGTACAATCAATCTCGTCAGTAATTATAAAAATTGAAAAAATGAAATTTAGATACCTGCATTACTTCAATCATACTTTGACAAGAAAAATGATCGCAGTCTGTGAAAAGGTTAACTAAAAGTGGAACATTATCAACATTTTCTAAATGAGGACGTATATTCTTGATTCCTGAAATGAAAACATAAGAATTCTGCACTTGGATTTTCTAAAATATAACAAGCACTAAACATTCTATTCCGTGTCTGACCTGATGGTAATTTCGCTTTATTCGGAAAAATTTTCGGACCTATTTCTTCGCCGTATGAATATAGAGAATGATCACTTTGAGTTTTTTTTAATGAAGTTTCCTGGAAAGAAAATTATTTTCATTATGCACCAAAAGTGGTGGTGTACAATATAAAATTGGAGAAAAAACGCAACTTTGGAGAAAAAACGCAACCAAACAAACCGATTTTGATGATAAATGCTTAAGTATAAGTGGTGATGAACATGGACTATATTTGCTTCGATTTGAGATTTGTATAGAATTTCTGGAAAGAAATATTTATACACTTTATTGTTTCATACTACTTATGAATAACAAATGTTTCTATTAAAAGTTCTAACAATTTATTTTGAGCTTACCTTATTTTTTAAAACAATCGACGATTGCTATTTTCACATGGTTATAGAATACCTAGATCCAGTGAAGTTTTTTCAAAGAATAGTTGGAAACAAGAATTTAAAAAGCTTCAAATTAAGAAATTAAAATCTGAAACAGAAATTACACGCTATTACTATTCCAGAATTGAAAATGAGTTCTTGAATCTTTTCACTAAGTTAATGACAAGTGACAAATAGTACCTGAAGTTATTTCCCACTGAAACGATAGAAGAATGATTTTGATGTAGTGGAAAATATTCAGACCAAGTAGCTGAACGATGCAATACTAACTTTGTTGGACGTCGATAAGAATCTTTGCTTACATTGAAAACTTCAGACTGTTCATCTGCAATTTCTGAATTTTCGGAAAAAAAACCTTAGGCACAAATTTTCCGGGGAATTCAAGCAATAAAGCATTAACAAATCATAACATAAAAATGACTATAAATGATTGTAGAAGTTATCTGAACAGGGCTTGATTACTAATAAGAAGCTCGAGAATCGCAGTGAAAAACAAAAGCAGGTTATGTATGTAGTGCACATAACCTAGTTGATAATTTTGATTAGCAAAATCTAGGTGTAAAATTTATATGGGATAACGTGAATCTTATGCTTAGTTTGAATAGCAACAGAAATTAGCTAAATTTGAAGAAGTGTATGATTCTATTAATCTTTTTGTGATAGTAAATATCTTACCTTCACTAGCTAATGATATATGACAATTCCATCCAGCTTCCAAGCCCAACTTTTCAGTAAAAACTCGACTTCGCAATTCATTTTCTTTCGAGAAGTAAATGAATCGTATGCAAGCATGGTCCAATTGTTCTACTAATTGAACGACATCACTTCGAGCCTTAAAATTTATTTAAATAACCATGAGATTCAAATGACTGTAAAATTTACAGGCAGTAATATTAAACAGCAATGATAACATAAAACAGAATATCCGTGTTAAAAATTCATAAAATTGACCTGATGTTGTAAGACAAGCAAACCACATAATGTTTGCCCATGCATAACTTCTTCAAAGCATTCATAAGCAGTATGCAAAGGTGACTGACGATAAAACGCCTCCAAAAACTCCATATCAAGACTGACCGTCCTTGGAATTGAAGTTCTCTCTTCAACTTCTTCATACTTTTCTAACAACGAAATATCGATATATCTTTCACTTAGAGTATCCGAAATAGTACAGCCCAGGGTTCGATAGGCAAGGACCAAACAGAATCTAAAACACTCTTCTTTTACATCCCATAAGTATATAGTTCCGTTTTTCAGTATTTATGAATTACTTTTCAACCAACTGGTAAAGAAAATGTTTATAATTTGAAGCTTAGTTTTTCAAAAAAGAGATATGAAACACAAAACAAATATATCGTTAAGAGCACCAATTGAACAAACCCAGTCATTGTATTGCGCTGATAAAAATCAAGAACCCGCTTATGTAAATTTGGTGTATATGGTTCTAAAGAATTGCCACACCATACATGAGTACAAGCACTAAGCAACAAATCAGCTGTTCCTTGACTCATTACATGATAATATTTCGATGCTCCATCTTTTGTAATTGTTAGAAATGCATTTTCTAATGGCATACGAAACCTCCGCAACCTAAATTTTGTCTCTTTTATCAAACATAACAAAAGTGCAATACTGAGAAGCTATTTTTGGATTGATCATAAAGTAATTAGATCAATACAATACTACACTGTTACAAACTGCTTGGAATTGATATAAACAACAAAACAAATGCTGAACTGACTCATTATCGAATCCTTCCTTTCGTAACCGCTCATAAAAGCCTATTGTTTTTCTATCCGAAATATTAAATTTTTCTAAAACTTCGTCACCAATCCTGCAAACGTTTAAAAATTAAATAAAACAGTCTATATTTCTAGCTTCCCATCTTTTCTATGCTTTCTGTGGTTGTCTCACATAAGAATGCTTTAATACTTTGGATTTCATGACTTTCTAATTTTAACTGAAATAACAAGAGTATTCACTATTAATGATTTTAAATAATTTTTAAATGAAAGATTAGCAAAGTAATGATAACCCTTGGCATAAGAATGCTTGTGAGCTAACCCTAGTAAGTGAGTTAGTGGGCATAAACAGTGTCGATTAGAAACTGTAATAGTGTTTGGCACATTTTCCGAAATACTTCTGATATGATTCAAAAATAACGTATAGTCTGGCAGTAAAGAGCAACCATTCACAATACTATTGATTCCAAATGGCAGCAAAGATCGCTTATAGCATTTCCTGAATTATTACAGCAAAAATAAAAAGTGTCTGCGCTGAGATATCAAAATAAAATTGTTGATGAAAAATTAAGAATAACATGCAACCAACCATGAGGAATCATCAAAATGTACAGGAAAAGATTCAGCTTCATTCATCGTTAAATCCAAAATTTTTGGCATCAATTTCCGCTCTTCACCTTGGAAAGGAAATATTGGGAATTTTAAACAATATTGGGAATTTTGTAGAAAACATGAATAAAAGAACACAGAATTACTTAAATAAAAATAACAGAAGGAAAATTCAATAAACTCGTATTATCTATACCTTTTCCATCACAGTGAAAGCACAACACTTTTTCTATTGTTGCATTTGGCCATGAAAGCAGACCTTTCTTGTCCAGGAAAGCACAAGATGTGAGACCACCGCATGTGAAAACGAAATCCACTGAAGTGTGAAAATGACCTAAAAGTATGCAGTACACGAATTAAAATTTCTATTGCACTGATTCCTCAACTCCATTATCTTAAAATAGTTACCTGTAAAATAGTGATAAACTGCCTTAAAGCCATTGGTAACTGTTCCTTTTCTTCTTCTATCAACAAAAATACGAGCTGCAACGTCTTCGGAACTTGATTTATTGTATCGCAGGTTACGGTCATCACCCAAAACAAAACCCAAATTCCTTAAAATAATTAGCAAAATTCTTAACTAATTTAATTTCAGCATTACAGCATGAGAAAATTTTTCTTTATGAAATATTCTATCATGCTTTAATGCAAATATATTTTTCAAGATATCACTGTTATTAAATCATTAAGGCGTATTCTTCGGTTACGCAATTGCACATTGGAAGAAGTCGTACCTTTTGGAGGAGATTCCGTTTAATCCACTCAATGATTGGTATGTCAATTGTTCTTAGCATGAAGTCCTACGTCTAAAAGCCCCATAATATTATAGTGCTAACTGTTTTACGTATATAATTTCAAAGAATACCATAACTTTCCAACCAAACAAAAAATCGGAATCATGGGTCCCAACAGAGACAGAAGAATCAGTGACGTATCCACCAAGAAATGAATAATACTTTCTCTCGCCACAAAAACATACCTGAAAATAATCAATTCTAAAAAGATAAATTTTTAAATTCTAGTAAATCCAAATTTAAATGAAGACAATTTCCATTTACGTCTCCGATACTAATTTTATCGAACTTATTCAGCATACTAAATTGTAGAAACTTTCCGAAAACAATGCAATATGAACGTAATCGTGAATATGAATGGTAAAAGACATCGTTCAAGGACAAAATGCAATGTTATATCAATTTCAGAATTCAACAAATTTGAGTGTTTCTTGCAATGATTACGAAAAGCTGAACGTATATGCTCAATAACTGGCGGTTCGACAATTTTCCACAATGTCGATTTTGATGGAAGTACCTAAAAAACTATGAGCGAATTTAAAACTAAAAGAAATATCGAATGGTCAGAAATCGATCAAAACATTAAGACATTTTAAAAATTCTGCAAAATAAAAAACAAACACTATGAGTTTCAGGACATAACATTTCTGAAGATCGTGGTTTATCTCCAAAATCAATGATATCACCACGTTGTGACATACATCGGCAAGGTGATGACTGCCCAGCACGAAGTTCTATTATATCACCATCTACCAAAAGCATCCATGGCACATTGACTAACTAAAATAATACATGTCTTATGTATACATTTAGGTTTCTAACAGTTATCTACAGTGTATGCCTATGTAGCAAAGTCACTTCCAGACGGCTTCATATACAAATCATTTTTCAGTAAATAAAAATTGCATCTCTCTGCATAGTATTTAGATGATTTTATGAATGTCCAATTCAACACAATAAATAAAATGATTAAACTGAAACGAAAATAAACATTTTAACCACAATAAAATTACCTTGTGATCTCTATGTGTCCACTGTAAACTGATGGCATCAGACGGCGGTGTATAAAGATGTTCATATTCAAAATCTTCTTCTTTCAGCGATTTCAGAATATCCAAAATATTTAAGGCTTTTGCAATAATGGCAAAGCGTTGCTTGTGATACACTTTTAATGAGTGGCATATGTTAGATATTGTTATAACCAAGAAGAGAACTGATGCGAGCTGGTCAAATAAAGAGTAACCTCTAAATGTAATCCATAAAATAATTTTCTGCTTTATATTATTCCAACTTTCAAGTAAAACAATTTCTCTGAATGTACACAGTGACTTGGAGTTGGAGGATTAAATAATAAAAAACATAGGTAAAACAAATAGGATTAATAAACCTAAGCAAACTACAAGTCAGCAAAACAAAGCAGCAAACAATTGAAGCTATCGCATAAATGATACAAAAGCTTCCAGTGGCCACTTCATCATGGGTCAAAAACCTGAAAAAAAATTAGTTCGTGCATATTAGAAAGCTTTTGTACGAAAGCACAAAAGCATGAACTCATCACAATGAACCAAACAGTGTTTTAAAATTTCTGATATCAAAGGATATCTTCCACACGAACAAATCCAAACATAAGTTCAACCAGAACATTTTTTACAAACATTTTCACACATATACATGCCATATATGATTTGAAACCGACTAACTGACAAGTGGAAATTAGTGATTTAATCAGCAAACGTTACCTGAATGTAAAAATTCCAGCAGCGAGTTCACGTTCCCTGTCAATTTCAGATTCTACTATTTCACAAAGCTTTGCAAAAGCTTCTCTCGTGCTTAAACCAATCTTCGCACCCATTATTCACTCCAAAAAAGTTCAGAGACGTTATACATATAATATATGCTGCAGTCACAACCAATATAACCCATAAGCAACAGGAGAACCAATGCATCCATTAATCATTGCTGTTTATAAATAAAAAGAACTTAATATAATGATGCTCGTCAGTAATATCATTTTCGATCATCAGAAGAGTCTCTGGTCGAAAAGTTGAACAATTCAGCGGCGAAACCTATAACTTCTAATCTATCCCAATTCTATTTTCTTGAGTCCTCAGTTCTCTTTTCTTCAGTAAGGTAATTAATTATGTCGAAACATTTTGGTACAAATAATAGGAATTGGGATACAGATGTTCATATTTGTTATGTGAAACGTGAACTGCAAATATGATTCAAAAACTTCTTTATGCTTCAAAATAAAAAACAACCACCAAAACATAAGATCATTCCTCATTATCAACATTTACTGTCGTTAACTTCTTAAATGTTGTAACAGGGACGTGAGTTACCAATGTGTACAACCGATCTGCAGAACTTTCATCATCGTTACGTCGTCGTGACAGACGTACACGTACACGATACGGAACATTCCTAAAGATTTTAATTAGTCTGCTAAAGATATTTAAGGCTTAAAATTCCATTGCATCGTACATTTTGGTACAAATATATATTTTGAGGTTCTGAACTTTCATTCTTGTACCAAATAAATGGAACTAGTAGTTCATTTGTACAAGTTCTTTTTTAATCATAGTTCCTTGCCTCATCTCCGACAGCAGCATGAAAAAGAAATCACTCTGCATCGAGATCTAAATTAAGATTTAATAATACAACCAACACTAATAATTAGCACAGAGAACATAATAAAATCATAAACTGAGTTTTTGAAAGAAATTACTAGCGAACGCAATTACTTCCCATTTCACTTTTCCTTTTAATCAGCAGTTAACCTAACTGGAGTTCAAACTCTTCATGAATCAAATTCAGCAGGATAATGCTTACTTTACGCCTTTGGACCACAAAAATTCATTAAGACGTATATGAACGCGTACGTCTTTTGTACCCATCTGTTCTTCTGCGAATTTCCGTATTGCTTTGATAGCTTGAGGAGCACGCTTTTTAAAGCCACTGCAAGCGATATTTAAATTTTGCAAATTTGACTGCTTGATGCACTCCGCAAAAAAGCTAATCTAGTGAATTATATGTAGGAACTAACTGATAGTTATCATGATAACTAATCTTCGCACCATAAATCTGAACGAGCGACAGCTTAATCAAAGAAAATAGCATATTCGTTTTATTTTAGGAATCTGAGTAAAATATGGATACCCAACCAATAAGCCGGGATGCGGCTACATGCAGAAAAGCTAGGATGCGAAACTGCTCCTCCACGAAAATTCAGTTATCTGTGCATTATAATGCAAGACACAAACTTACACGCCGTGCAATCGTCGATGTAAGTTAACAGTATACTCGCGCGTCACTACTTCACTCATTGCACTTCTCGGCTTTCTTTCTTGTTTCGATCCTTTTTTTGAAGGTGCCATTGTCAGATGCCTGCAAAACAATAATGAGGCTATGATTAATTCACTTCATCGCACGAAAGATCGGCGTATACTCTTACTATTTATCGCAATCACAATGCACACCTATTACCCTTTATTATATCTGTAACGTTAAAAAAATAAAAACTCAAACTCATAATTTAATAATTATCACATCCGTGGACCCAAATATCCACCAACCTTACCTTACCACAAATTCCCCTCCATAAACGTGTACTACACATCTCACGTCAACATCAACTCAACTCAATCAATGCACTAAATTTTTTCGCGGTCCATTAAAAACAGATAAGGAGTTATGCGAATCGAAGTTTCATCGTTACTAATTTCTGGTGAGGTATTGTTGAATGAGAGACTGTTTACTCAATGAAGCGGTTTTTCAGCACGGAATTGTTGTACGAAATTTTTGAAGGGATTTATCTCAGAAGTGGACTTATCTATTCATCACTGAATACAATGACGACAGGTGACAATAGCACTCACATTTTGTTCGAATTGTTTAATTTACCTGTCAGTATGCAATGGTGCAGAATGTCTATCCTAAGTATTATTACATCGAAACTCATTAAATCTTCCAACAGAAAAAGAGAGAGAGCGCTGGCAATTCAATTATTTCAATTAGATGTAATCATCAAAAACAATTATCAAAGTCTTGCAAATGCAAATGCACTAAAAGACCAAATTATAAACTTGCTTGGTATTGAGAACAAATATTCATTAGAACTAAGTTTAGATAATTCTAAATGAAGATAACAAAAAATCTATGAGATCAGCCAAACAATTATGTTCTAAAGAACAATAAAGAATAAGTAACAAAACAAAAAAAAAAGATGCCATATCAAATAAAAATAAATAAATAATAACAAGCCGATCAAAGATATTAGCAAACGAAATCATTCTGACTGCAATTCTACAATTATGAATTTAAGCGTTCATTAAAAAGTCATTAACAGCTTAATCCATAGCAACGAATAAATGAAACAATCAGAGTACTTTATAATGTAATTAAATTCATTACATAAATGCATATAGCAAGAATAATATCAATTATATGATTGATGCTAACATTTAATATTTAATTAAAAATTAAAAACAATCGAAGGCGTAATTAACAAACTAATAATGAAGCAGGTAAGGCAGCTCGCAAAAAAATAATAAAAATAAAAGGTCGTAATAAATGTACAGAAATCGAATAAAATTAAAATACAATTGAAGCATAATGCAAAATGATTTCTTTAACTTTTGTAATTTCAGATATTATCAAATAAAGTATGTTCGCTGAGGGATAATTAGTCCAGTTCTGAGGAAATTTTTTTAACATGCTGTCGTAATTCTTATTTATTTTCCTCATCATTTATATTAATTAATGCAATTATAAATTTAAGATATATTGCACTTGTTGAAGTCAGAATATTTTAAAGCTTTACCTTCATTTCATCATTTTCTTTCAGCTCCATAAATTTAATTTGCAAAAATTCATCATCTCTTTTTAACTGACGATATGCCATGGAAGATCTAATCATATTAATATCAGATTATAATAAACATACGTCACATTGATCACATATTGAGCTGAAATGAGAATTTTGAAAGTGATGTAAAATTATAATAGAAAGCTGAAACTCGTTTCAACTTTTTTTAAACCATCGATTCTTTTTTTAATGATCAGAACTTTACAGTCTTTGTAGGATGGGAAAATATCTGAAAATTATAAGCTTTTGTTTTTGCTAAACCCTTTTCGTTCACTTTTTCAAACAGTTATTGATGTTTCAGCTGGTCTCAATTAAAATATCATTTCCTCCAAAGTTTAGTATGTACACTATGACAAAAAGATATACTTTTCAAATTACTGTCAAATAATTTGATTTAAAAAAAGCAGAAAGTAAAATAACTTTATTAAACTACGTTTCAGCTTTGCAATTTTCAGAAGAGAATAAAAACAAATCTTGGTAATTTTTTGGCCAATTCATTCTATCATAGCTTTTGAAATTTTTTATACTGATGACGACAGTCACTTACTTTCTTTTGATCGAGCATAACATTAAAAGTAAGATTCAATTTTAACGAGCGAATTTCGTGAATGAATGTTAACCTTCATTTGTAATTTTAATTTTAGCACTTTTTTAGTTTAGAATAGCTTTTCTAATCGTGAGAGGCATTGTTTTCTATAATTATTCCTCTTGAACTATTTACTTTGCACATTATATTTTTCGAATATTTTGGACTTAAGGAGAAGATAATCTTATCTTTGAATCATAACCGCCTGATCTGTCCTTTCGTCTGATCTGTTTCTGTTGATCTAGATTAGCTTAAATGGCAATAGATATCTTTTAAAATCACAAGAAAGAGAATTTTAATATCATTTATTAATTATTTTGATATGATTTTTGATGTGTATGTTTAATTTATTAATTTATTTAATTGCAATTAAATGGTTGTTAACAATTCGAGCGATTGGATGAAATGAACAAAATAAGTATTTCTGATATGTAAAACGTAAAAGAAATGTGAAACTTTCAGCTCTGTAAGAGAATGAATTGTTGTGATGGTTTAAGAAAGAATTGATGAGTTCTTGTGACGAGCATTTGTAGCGCAAAAAAATACATTGACCTTGACGAACTATAAGATATTTTCAACCTTCCAGATGACGATTAATTTACATTTCAGATTTTAATTCCTGCTGTCGAACAGATAGAGATAGGAATGGTGAACATTTCTTTAAAGGTTATGTCATTTATCCACCAATCACACTCCATTCTTTCTTTTTTTTCTTTTTAACTTTACAATTTATTTTATTCCCTATTATTTAATCGTGTTTTTCCCACAATCTTCTTTTTCCTCGAAAGTTAATCAATAAATAGCATTGAAATCATTAATCTTCATTGTAAGTGTGAAGTATTTTGTAATTTTGATTTTCTTCCATTCGTTTTCATCTCCGCAATTAATTAAATCAATAATTTTGATGATATTTGAAATAATATTTGAAATGACTTTGTGTTTTTTACTTTTAAGTTTAAATTAAATTTATCAACGCAATGTAGTTATATAATACTTGATATTTCATGAATAGAGTTCAATATGGAATGTGAAATTTCCGTTGATTTCACAGAACCTGCTACTCTCAGGTATCGCCACCAGGTACTCTTCTTGCTCTGATGACGTATGAACTCATCTACGGAACACCGAACCCTTTTTTGACTGATCACATGCATCTGTGTGTATGTGTGTGTGTGTATGTGTGTATGTGTGTGTATGTGTGTGCGCACTATTTCAATGTTCGTGTGATCAATTACTCTCAATTACACATTTGCTTTGCTTATCAGTGTTAATTATTCATTTAGCAATGGCAAAAGCAGGCGATAGTTGGAAGATAAATTTTCTAAACTTTTAAGGATAAAAAATTGAAGTTTGATTTATAATAACAAATATTTTTGTGATAGGTGTAATCGACAGACAATTAATATGGATAATAATAATTCATTTTATATTGATATTTTCATTAACTTTTGCATTAAGGAGAAAAAATGGGTTTTTCTTTTTTAATCATTTATCTTAGTTTCAACCTTCAATATATCTTAACTCTTTAAAAACTATTTCACATTAGCGTTAAAACAAATTTAAACATTTCATTTCAAATAGCAACATTTAATCATAGTTTAAATAAGCAATCACTTGAAATTGTTTGTATTCTTTTTTTCGAATACAACACTTTTCGACTAGATGAAACAATTTTGCATTTACAAATAGTTGAAAGTAAGTCTACTAATGTAATTTTCAATCCATCCTTATTCATATCTTTATCTTTCCTTTTGCCCCACCTCTTTTTTAATTATCATTTCTACAAATATTTCCAATTCATTTTTATAATTTTAACTTTTTTACTCTTGTGGTCGTCGTAGCTGAAATAAAGCTTAAAGATGCGAATGGCGAATGAATTAGTTCGATCAAAATTATGGAAAGAAAATTAAAGCAAATCAGGTTTTTAATTACAATATTATTCAAAGTTTGTTCATAGATCACATGTTTTGTGTAGAAATGTCGGTATTAAAAATGAGGAAAGAATAATTTTTTTTAAATTCATTTTACATCTCAGTTAAACATCCAAATTCAACTTCCATCTAAAATATCCATTGGATCATTTCTTGCATTTCTTTTCCTTCATTTTTCCTTATTTTCATCAAAATTCATAAAATTATATATGTACAGTAATATGAATTGATGCACGCATCACGGAATGATACGCCAGCGGTTTTTTAAAACTTTTTAATATTTCACATTTCACTGACAATTTTTACTGTTTGAAAAATTGGAATAATACATGCAGAAATGAAATACGTATATCTGTCATTCAATGACTTTAAGAATAAAAATGAATCAGAAAGGATGAAATATCGGATGCCAATTTTTTTCGATGACATTTTTCCAAATAAGTCAAATAAAAGTTAGACCAATTGAAATGATTTCTACATTTATAAGACAAACTGCAATGAACAGAGATTTTGTTAAGATGAGAAAAAGGACGGGAAATTATTATCTGAGCAAAAGTTCACGACCTCTATCAGTAATACCTCTACCTCTCTCTTTCTCTCTCTCTCTCCATCTCCTTCTTTCTCTCTTTTTCCTCCTCCAATAAATAAACCAGTCGCTCTGGAGAGAATGATTATTTGCATACGCGCATATATGATGATGCTGAGTGATTGTTTGGCTATAAGAATGCACGGTGGAGACATGCATATGATTACAATTAGGGGTGGTAAGTGTGATCCTTCTTCAGTAGTTTGATAGATGTTTGAAATGGTCAAGAGGGACATGAGAGGAGGGGAGGACAGTTCGGATTAGTTTGACCCTCACTTCATTGAACATTTTCAATCATCTAATGCTTTCTGCTTCTCTTTTCCAGACATTGTTAACACTCCGTCATCACTCACACTTTTTGATAATCTCTTATTTGTTGCTATATTACCGTTGTCTATATTTGATTAATTGGGAGGAAAATTGAGTTAAATCAGATTTTAATCATAACATTGTTCGAGATTTGTTCATAGGTTAAATGGTTGAGTTTGTGGTTAAACAATTCTTATGATAACATTATCAGCAAATCACCGTTAATAATTTATCAAATACAGTTTTATTTTTGAATAAATAGTTTTAGCAACCATTGATAGCTTTAAATCCCTTCCTGACAAATATGAAACATATTTTTTAATTCGAGAGATTTTTTTTTTTTTAATAAGATAACTTATTTGAAAGATAGCATTATGATTTTATGGAGAATTTAAACCAATACTGAGGAGCTAAAATTGCCATTTCGATAACTTTAACGAAATCGTAAACACAAAATACCTTCAACAAGTATTCGAGATCTGTAATGATCAAACATTTACTTTTGCATTTCCAATAAAAGTTTGTTTAAAATTTCGTCATGAAATATAAATGCTATTATCAATAGTTATCAGACATTTAAAGTTATTATTAAAATTTGGCGACAACTAAAATATTAAAAAATGTCACTAAAATCTGTCCGTAATAATATCTTTCTCACCTTTACCAATAAATTATATTTCTTTGTTATCTAAATGATTTTGTTCAAAATTCTTTTCATTTCTACCTCTTACTCCTCTATTAAATTTCCTTATAAACTGATACGACATGATCCTAATTTCTTAAACTTTCCATTTTCGATCTAAAACATTCCTTTAACTCAAACTTATTTGGCATAATAAATCTTGGTGCGCTTAATTTGACATCTTTTTTCATCTTTTTCAGAAATTTCAAAAGCTCAAATTTACAGTATTCTCAGCACAATTCACTTCATTTGCCTCGATTTTATTTCCAATCATTGCATCTCAACGAGGTGATTGTTGTCGAATCAGTATTTTCTCAATTTTAATTATCTCGACGAATGCTTCATTTTCACTGTAACGAAAGTTGTTGAATTTATGTTATTTACTTGTTACACGTTAAAAACAGTTTTAGTCAAGTACTAACATTGAAGAGATGTTGATAAATGACCAAGGGCAACATTTACTGTCACATACAGAATAAGTTTCATTCAAAATAAAAAAAAATTAATATCAATGCATTTTTTTTAAAAATTTTCAAAAAATTTATATATAATGCGATAAAATAAAATGAAATAGCTTTTTCCTTCCTCTTTTCTCCGCCACAATATTTCTTTCATCCTCAAAATAATTTTTTGAATGGGACTGTTATTTTCTAATCAATATCATCATTTATTTATTTTTCTATCCTATAAAGCAATATGGTCAATTAATAATTCTATTTAAGTTCAAATACTTATCATATCCCTTCAATTTACACCAAAGTAAAATCCTTTTTCTTCTTTACAAGTGTATTTTCAGTATCATATATGAAATCAACAACTCTTTTATGATTATTTCCTGTTTCACTTTTCATTTCGTACTTATATATTTAATAATCGCATTAAGATTATTAAAAAGCACTCAATTAAGCTTTTTACCGCAGTCAATGTAAGTTTATGAGATACCAAAAATGCATTAAATAGTTAACTGTAGACGAAACGTAGTACCTTCCACTTTGCGATGATATCTGATAAAATTACATTTCCTTATCATAATCAATTATTCCTTTGAGAAATCATATGGTTATGAATAACTTTAATTTTTGAAAATGTGCATTTTTCAAATTCACATATCTTTTAATTCTAATTAGAAAATTAATTTTTTTTCTGGAAACATTGATAATATTTTATTCTCATATCTCTATAAAAATATTTATCATTTTGCGTATATATCTTAATGAATATTAATTTTGAATATAGCATACCAAATTAGATTTCACAAAGAAAAAATTAACATAACTTCGACATACTTTTGTTCTATTTACTGTTAGAATTAAATTAAATAAAAGAAACAAAGAATATTATTAGATTTATACTCCTTACTCTCTCTCCTTCTCATTGTTGTCATACTTCATTTCACATTTTATTAATTGAAATGAAATTATTCAATATTATTCAACTGATTTGCTATTGTATTTTAATCAGGAAATGAAAAACTAATTCTGCAATTTGAAAGTGAAAATGAAATTGACTTATTAATTAGCGGATAGTTCATACAAAAGTATTTTAGAAACATGAATTTTAGAATGATTCCTTTCAAGAAATTTTAGTACCAACTCTTTCCCATTTGTATTTCAGCGTTACAATTTGTACATGTTCAAACGTCACGTATTACTTTCTGTAGATTGAATTAAGCAATGAATTGAAATTTGTTCGAAATAAACTGTATGTGTTTAAAATTTCAATTTTTAAATATAGATTTTAAATATCCAAATACAAATTTCAGTTAGAGTTCACCCAATTTGCACAGTGATGATATAAAACGTCATCAGAATAATCTTTTTTTTCGTTCACGTTATTTAGGCATCTTTCAGCGTAAAAGGCATAAACTGCACGGAAGATGCATTGATTTCATATCATTATTTACCAAAAAGGAAAGATGATGAGCAGTCGAATACGAACAATTGTGCTATATCGCAGAAACATCGATACACCAAAACCTTCAAGTTCAAATTACTCGCAACAACCATCGAGACACCCGCTGGGTTTCAGTATTGTAGGTGGCATCGATTCACCGCGTGGTCCCATGGGAATCTTCGTCAAAACTGTCTTCGCCGATGGATTAGCAGCAAAAAGTGGCCTTGTTTGTAAAGGTAACGAAAATTGGTTTTGTCACATTGATGAAAAGTAGGATCGAATAATGAAAATGGAACGGTATTTTATTTTTCTTTAAATCGTTAAATATTTTCGAAATTGTCAAAAAAAAAAATGTTTGCCTTTTCCTCTCATCCCCTTTCCTTCACAAAAAATACAATATTTTTTGTTGCTCAGTTTAGTGGAACCTGAAGAAGGTATATATATCCGAACGTATTAGCCATCCTTCTATACCTATTCATTATCTGCTAGGCAATTTAACACTTTAAATAGATTACAATTTACAATATTTCTTCCCAACAGATAATATCTGTGTTTCTTCTGACATTGATAATTTGAAAATTTCATCAAATTTTAAAAGAAAAATTATAATTCTGAGCAATAATCTTTTTATGATTGGGGAAAAAATGCTGATTTTTAATCGTAATTAATTAAATTAAGATGAAAATCTGCGTCCAATTGATGATGGATCAAATTGATGACTAGCAGAATATAAAGAATCTAAAAATGGTTAAATGAATTTATATCTTCAAACAATCCTACACTCTTTCTTTCCTTACCTTCTCAAAATGTAATGCAGAACTTAATCCAATAATTTCAATTAAATTCGGGCGAGTTAGTTCTTTTTTGATGCATTAAAAGATTTTAGGGGATGAAATTTTGAGTGTTAATGGAGTGGAGCTGAATGGAAAAACGCATGCAGAAGCGTTACAAATATTCAAGAGAAGTGCAAAAATTGATGTAACTCTTTGCATTCGTCGAAACATTCCTAATTCGTCGAAACAGAATAGAATCTTCGATTACACCGAAACAAATCAAAAATTGACGTAATGAATTTTATAAATTCTATTAAAAATTAAATATATGAAACAAGGTTAATGATTATGTGTAATTTCACATTTTAAATGGATCTTTGCGCCCACGGAAAAGAAAACTGTGTACTGAATAAAGGAATTATTCATGAAATGTAGGAATTCTGGATCATAAAAACGTTGATTAATTGTGCTGTTTATCGAATTTGTATTTTTTTCAATGCTATACTCAAAGACTGAAAAATGATTTTGAGAGAAATTGGAGGACGTTTTTTTCTAAGCCAGTTATTATCAATCATGTCTTATTGTTTAATTGTATCTTGTTTAATTTCGAAAAATTTTGAACTTAAAATTTCAGCATCAGTAATGTCATTTTTTGTGCGTTTAGCTCTAATTGATTCGTATATTTTCTTATTTGTGTTAATGCTCAATAAAATCAATTTTTCCTGCTTCAGTTAGAAAATATGAATTTTAAAATAACTTTTGCGGAAAGAAACGGGAATAATCTTTGATCTGTAAAAGCGGCTTTATATTATTTCATTCCTAAGTTTATGCTTTATATATTCATTTCTAATCTTTCGTATCAGTTCAGTCAATAGTTTTATTCTTCTTTTGAACAAAAATTTTATTCAAAGCAATAAAAAAATAATGCAACAAAAAACTTTTGAGCATGTAAATTTTATTCTATTTTAAATTCTATTTACTCGTAATTTTAGTGCTAGCATATCTTTAAAATATAAAAATTATATTTGTAATTACATTCCGTCATTTCTATTTCATCCATTATTTACTAATCTTTCATTTATCATTTTCAATCATTACCTATCATATATTAAAAATATTTATGTCTTATATTCTTATATTCATTGAAGAAACATTTGGAGAGATTTTTCAGGACAGCTAATGATAAATACGAAGGTGTTAAGAAATGCGTTACACATGCATCGTCAGAAACATCAAGAAATACCGCATGCCTGAGATGCCGGATTCTGATCCGAAGTCAACAACGGAAAATGTATGGTTGTCCGAATGCTGTAAGTGAGCATTCTATTATTTTTGCATTTTCTCTATCTAACTTTTAGAATCACTAATAAATTGATAAACTTAAATTTATCTAAAGAATCTTGATATTAATCTGGAATATATATAATATATATATTTCTGAAGGAAATATTTCAGTTTACAGTTTTTTCATTCAATCAGATAAATTATATTTTAAAAATCTTTCTTTTTACCAGTTATGATATGTTACAAATTCTCGAGAATATCAAATTCATCCATCTGTTAATCGGAAACTTTGTATATAAATTGCACCGATCATCTTCGAGGAAGAAAAAAGCTGCCGAAAATTTAGATTAGCCATTTTGTCCGAGAAGGGAAGAGAATTTTCGGAGAAAGCATTAATTTGCATTTTGGTGTCACGAAGTGCAATGCAGCACTGCGTTCCCAACCACACCATCATCACATCCGTTCCCTCTGCAAGACGTCGCCTATCATTTTCTTGAATCCTTGCCTTTCCCTTTTCCTTTCAACCAATCATCCCTTTCTCTTTTTGCTCCATTTTTCGTAATTGATGAAATTAAATTTAAAATGGTCAGCTGTCTTTAAACATGGTCAAATCATAATGGGCAAAGGTGGACAATAATGCATTCATTGGACTTTAAATGCTAAGGACGAGAAAAACTTATATCGAATAAGTATTATTCACTAGTAGAACAAGATCGTTAAATAACATGAGAATGTGGACATTGGCCATTACAGCTTCCTTTTTAGCTTGTAAATCTTTTGGTCTGAAGTGATAGAAAGCGATGCATCAAATTAGGGAAATATTTTATAAACGAAATGAATTGTACGCATGTTATAGAAGACTTGATTATAATCAATTAGAAATTTGGTTTCCAGGAGTGATAATAAATTTTAGAGCATTTCCGATTTGTGATTTTAGAAAGCGTAGAGAAATCATTTGACCAATACGTATTTGTGTACATTTACTATTATTATTTTTCCATTAAATTATCTTCATTTGATCTTTCTTTAATTTCCTTACTGATACATTAAATGAAAAGGAGCTTTTTGAAAATTGCTTTTAAATTTTCTTAGAAAATTTCATTAAAAATTACATTCAAATATTTCCACTACAAATTATCCGCACTGCACTATTGTAATAGTAATGGAAATTTTGGCTTAACAAGAAGAAATTCAAATGCTTATTTGCTTTTTATTACGTCTCCGTCAAATAACAACACAATGACCCATCAATTATTCATATGCAAAAAGAGCTATTCCATTACAATTCAACTGATCATTTCTCACATTCCATCTCATCTCACAATTGCTCGAAAAGAATGATAAATCATTCTTAGCAATATGAGAGATCACATTAAGTGTGCACTGACCAAACAAACGATTAAATTTAATCGATTAAACATTCCTTTTCATTGCTTTGTGTTGTGAACATTTTTAAAATTTTATTACCATTTTGTGAAATTTCAATTTTCATAATCTTATAAAGAATGAAATGAGAGAGGTCAAGAATTATTGTTTATATTGTTCGGATTGATTGTAAAAATTTGCGTAATTAAAATGATTGAAAATCTTGTTCAATCAACCTTTAAAATCTTTCGGGAGTGAATTGAAGCAAATACTGCTACAGAATGTCTTATGAATTATGCAAAGAGCGCCCAATTTGTGTTATTAATATTACTTTCCCTCTCACATCCTCTTCTTTCTGCACATTTCCTTCTTTTTTTGTCTCCTTTGTCATCGGTTTCCTTCCTCTTATTTTGCTTGACAGAAAAATCTTGCTGACCTGTTCATATGACAAATAGTTGGGGTCAGAGTTTCATGGTGATTCCTTTTTACTGAACACAATATCTTATTGATCTCGAATTATAGCACAATATTTTAACAGCGAAATTTTACAGAATCTTTTGGAACAGAAATTTTCAACGGTAGTAAAAGGCACATTACAATTTTAAATGAATTCCATTCATTTGTTAAGTGACCTTTTGACAACTGTCATTAATTGACCTTTTGATGATTTTTTTTTTCTCGACAACTGCTTCATCCTTTTTATTTGATGTTGAAGAAGAGGTGTGAGCGTTCGTTGGATGATTCTTCTGTACTTTTAACAATTAACGGTGCTTATATATTTTTTTCTTTCAAGTTGAAAGTTGTAAAATGTAGGAGAAATTTTTAGATGTAAGATTTTCAATGCGTTTGCCATATTTAGAAGATATTTGATGCAGAAATTTCAAGCATTAAGAAATTTCAATTTTAGTTTTTGAAGATAGTAAATAGGTAGGTTATCCGTTAAAATTTTCATATTGCCTTTGTTCGATATGACCTTCAAAAATTGGTATATTGTTTGGTACGTTGTTGGCTTTAAAAAGTGACGTCTTCACTGCCATGCTATACAAAATTTTCATTTTTATATCAATACGAATTTTTTCAGCTTGTTAGAATTTTTGGAATTGTTAAGAAAAATGAGAGGAATAGTTTAAATTCTTAAATTTTTCAAAAAAAGAAATTATTCTTTTTCATTTTATATTGCAAATTTAAACAGGTTGCATTAGTAGCAATGCATTTTATGCTTATAAAACAAATGAAATTACGTGCACGCAAATAGATAATTGGATATTCACGTATTTAATACTGAAGTAGATTTAAAACGTGTTCATTTACAAGAAGTAAACTTTTCGCAGTCAATTACAGCTGACTTAATGATGTTAGTTCAGACGTATATATATTATTGCGATTGTTATTATGTCTAAAACACACTATGTGACATTGTAAAGTATTATAGTTTTATTATTAAGGTGTTGTTTGTAACTTTTACTGTAATGATGTTTTGAAGTTAGTGTGCTGGAACTAATTGGGACTACACGCACGTATACGACATTGAGGAAAAGTATCGAACGCTTTTTAGGAAATAAAAAAAAGTGTATTGAATGCATTCGGATATCAAACAGAGAAAACTGTAGAGAAATATATAAGAATGTGAATTTTTTTATATATAAAATATACTTTTATAAACCACGAGATGATAGAAAAACAACGCGTGAATTATCCAATAATCGGAGAGTAACATGTGAATAGCGCGATGATTGGAGAACAAATGCCTATCACGTAATGATTGAACAACAACATGTGGGTTACGCAAGGACAGCAGTGATCATCATCGAAAATATCGTCATAGCATCGAAAGAATGTAATTACATGCGAATTCAGCATTAGTTTGGTTAGGAACTGCAGTTGTTGATTAATTTCAATGAAGTGTAAATCGTGTGAATCTAATAAGTTTACTCATTCGTCCGAAGTTACAGTGCACATTGAACTATGCCCTTAGCCTCAATATGACGGAAATCTGATTTTTACATCTCTTTTTTTTACTTATCCGTTCAGCTTGAAATATTATATGACTTCGATTGCATTCCCAATGGTTCCCAGTTAATTGATTAATTAATCTTATTGAAAGATTCAATTGTATAATTTATATGAGTTTATTTACCTCACTTTTTGACTTTTTTGTAAAATAATTTCATGCTAACTCATTCTTTTCATTTTAGATGCAATAAAGTTTATCATTTTTAAATTGATACCAAATTTCATTTAACTATGAAATAGGTCGTGAATATCAATTGATGTCATTCTTCCCTGATAAAATTTTTGCGCATTAAATTTTAAAATCGAAATATTTTAACATTAGATTTTATATTTTTGATCTTTTTTCTTTTTTAATACAGTTTTCAAGTGTTTCTTCATTTTTCTCTCAAATGATAACTGTTCAATACCTTTGTGATAATCCGATAATAATCAAACATTAATTGTTTGATTATTGCATGTTACACGAACGTTTCATTAATCGCTCATGTAATATATTTGGAAATTATAGAATGCTTTTGTAAGAGCAAAGCGTGCACTCGGCATTAAGTACGAGCTGATGCGCAAACAAATCATTCTTCGACGATCAGCGCCATCGGAACGTCTCGGTCTCGGGATTGCCATTGAGAGCGATGATAACGATAACAAGTTAAAATTTATTCATTTTGTATTTAGTCTGCAACTTTTTTTTAAATAATTCAATTGTGATGCTAATTAAGCATGTCAATTGTACAATTGAAGCTTGAATTTATTCTTGAATGTTTATTATTTCTGATTGATTCTTATATGCGTTTTAAATCAGCTGAGAATTCCATTTACATGCTAGAAATGCGGAGTTTGCAAATCAATATTTGATTACATTAATATTTCATCCTTGCGCATATTATTTAATCATTTCAGTAGTCAGTTATTCTTTCGTGATATTAAATTCACGTTGAAACGTTTTTTTTTTTTTCTTATTGTTCATTAAATCATTTTAATCTTTTAAAATGAGATTTGAATAGAAGTGATTAATTTGGCAGGAATTTTTCTTTATAGAGTGATTTGTGTACGTGTAGAACAAGTGGATCCATGTTCCATTGCTTCTCGAAGTGGCTTACAAGTTGGTGATCGAGTATGGAGTGTTGCTGGTACTGATGTTCATCAGTGCACTCGAACTCAATGCTTGTCACTTTTGCAGCAACCAGCAATGACTGTTGCTATGATTGTCACTCGACAAAATATGCTAGTTTTTGGAAATTTTAACTAATTTGAATCTTATCAGTTTAAGATTCTGTTAATAAACGAATATCCAGAGATAGTAAGGATGAGATCGCTGGAAAAAAATTCAATGGCTAATTATTGCACTATCTTTCCTCACGGAATTTAATTTTTAGAAGTTTAGACTGTTAGTTATTATGTGTGAAATTGTTGCAAATATTTATGTCAAAATTATTGAATTTAATCTTTCGTTTCAGCACATCTCCGCAGAATAAACATAATCGTTGCACGTTGACAAATGGATCTCAAATTTCGCTTATTCAAAAAGGTTATTCTGTTTCAGATTTTGCAGTGTTCTTCGGTTTATAAATTTGACATCTGATTAGTTACAGCATAATGTTTTACGGTCAAGAAAATTCAGAGAGCAAAACTGATGTGATAATGTATTATGAGAGAAGCAAGTTAAATAGATCAGAAGCACTGTGATAGTGTAAATTATTTTTCTTCATGATATCTTGTGAATTCGGGACTGGTTTAATCGAATGTATATTACCAAGAATTTCATTACTATTTTTGGATGCACCACAGTACATAGATGGATGGAAGATGGACGTGACCATTTTGATCAGCTAAAAGTCAGCCTGTTCTCTGGCAAAGCTTTTAGTTTCATTCCCATTTAATTATAATTTTTAACCTGGTCAGCTGCTCACTACTGTACCATTTACACTTGCATGCATTTTTTGAAATGTAATGAAATTATTAAGAACTTCTTGAAGTATGGTAGTTTGAATTATGTTCATAGCTAGAAATTTTTAAAAATCTTAGCAGCGAATATATAAAATTTTTAACAACTAATTAGCGTAAATTTTTCAACGAATACAAGCAATAAAGAGATAGATAGACTGAGTTTGAAGAACACTAGACTATTATCAAGAACTTGATTAAGACTAGACTATCATCAGGAATTTGATTAAGACTAGATTGTCATCAGGAACTTGATTAAAAATAGATTATCATCAGGAACTTGAATGCTTAATGGTAAAAAAAAAGTTATATGCAAGAAAACAATTTGGTAATATATTTGTTTCGATTATTTTGCAAGAACTTAAATAATCCATAAAATCTTTTCTTCACATTCATTTATTTTAGGGCACTAAAATGAATTCCTCCTTTTTTTCTTTTCATTTCTCCTCAAATGTATAATTTTGGAATGAATTTCTGTAAAAGTGAATTTTCATCATATCGGAATTTTGTGTTGATGATGATAATGCGTTTAACTTTCAATGTAAATATCCGGATAATTATTATTGTTTGTTCCGGAATTTTTTGTTGATAATGATAGTACGTTTAATTTTCAATATAAATATCCGGATATTTACAGCAATTATTTCTTCTCCCACTTCCCTGATGTTCGTTTTGTTCCATTCTGCTTTTTCATTCCCTTCTATTCGTACGTCCTTGACGTTGTGACAGAAAAAAATGCTTTTCTTTCATTTCTTCATATTTTCCAAGCATTCATTCTCCTTTTTCGTTCCTTTTCTTTTTGTACATTTTTATGTTTCATCTCATATGCGCTATTGTTCATTTTTCATTAATTAATGATTTCCTACTACTTGTACATCTTATTTGCACTTTCACGTGCTTCTAAGTGTTTATTTGGATTGCTCAAAAAAATTTCAAAAGTTCTTCATTGTTTGTTTGAATGCCTTTTTTTGCAAAAACAGAAGAATTCACAAAAGAAACTGTATGAATTTCATTCGCTTAACCGACAAAAAAATGATCAAATATGAAAGTGATAAGATTCGAATAGTTATTCATATCATCTGGTTATTTAAAATTAGGCAATGTAAGCCAGTGATAAAAGCTAAAGCCATATTAATAGGTTAAATTGAAGAGAGAAATAAATGTGTCACAATCAGATGACTTTTTTTATGTAAATAAAAGAATTCAATAGTGATTATCATCGTATGTATAAAATGAAAATTTAGCAAAGCAGATTAAAGTTACATTATCATTTGAAATATCATTAATGTTTTTTTTTCTTTCTTTTTTAGCGTACATTTACTCGACTGCTAAATCAAATAGCTTCCTTTATCACAAGCAATGATAAAAGTAAAGTATTAAATAATTGCTTATCATACCCATATTATTGCTCACTTTTAATAATAGCCTCTCTCATTTCTTCTCTCTCTTTAATTGTGATTTATTTTATAAAAGGAACATTTTTGTGTGATTGAAATTATTATTTTAGAGAAAGAGCAAAGATATCAAATATGATATTAATTCCATTAATAAACTATTTTTTTTTATTCAGAAAATTTTCCTAATCATTTTTTGAAAATTTTCCAAAATATTTTAGCTAGTAAGGGATTATTGTCAAATGTCTCGAATATTTGCTGAAATGTGCTGATTATGAGAATGTTTGGAGATGAATCTGAAAATGAATCATAGATTGGCGACAAATTAGATGATAATTCATATCAAATGATTAATTCGTGATAGATCAAATCCTGAAGTTAACAATCACCCCGTCATAACATGAAATTCGCCGAAGGATGTGAGAATAGATGATCCAGAGGTGCTTGACAAATTGAAAAGATGCTTTTGATGTTTACCGGTAGAATCCTGATTGATCAGTGATCAGTGTCACTTCCTTTGCAGCTATTAGCCTTCTTTCACTCCCAATCAATTGAACAACTATTTCCGTTATAAACAGTGAACTTGACGAAGATTCGATTTCCATTACTATTGTGATGAGGTCAACTGAGGTCACATTAGATGGATGACAAATATTTAGGCTCTTCGTCTTGCTAATAACTGTTATTGTATGAAATGTTTGACTGTTAATTTCACTTTTCATTTTACTCTCAATTGATTCTTCCACTATGCAAATACTTCAAAAGTCTTGTTGAAGTAAATTTCTGGAAGTTCAGTTAATCTTACCCTCATCCTTAGCCATACCAATTATAGTAATAATTTGAATTTAAACAATAGATGGAGCACAGAATGGGAATAACTCATTCTAACTACATTTTAAAGAAAAAAAAAAGTAAAATGTTGTAACGCAATTGTGCTATTTTTGGAATGTTGTTTAAAATTTGCTTTGATCCCTCGTAGGCCTTTCTTCCAATCTCTTTCCTCTCCGTCGTTTACCTTTAAAACGGTTGCCCAAATCTGAGTATTAAAATGTAAATTTCGTGGTGCACCAAATTTTTGCAATTGAAATTCTGTTAGAAATTTCTTTATGATGATGTCACGATGAAATCATTTTCTGCATTTATATTATTTCTAGTCAAGTTTTTATTAATTTGCTAATTTCAAAATTGCTCTTTTTCATGTTCATTTGTTCCAATTATCAAATCATTCTTATTTCTTGTTAATTTCAGTCATACTCTTATTCCACTCCAACTATTGAAATTTTTTCCCTAAAATTTGTACAGTGCGTGTTCTGGTTTACAATTCAACGTCTTTCTAAAATATCAAACTTCATCAATACGGACTATTAGTTTGGAATGAAAATTCAAAAGTTTTTATTTTGAAATATTATTTTGAACGGTGAAAAGCGAACATATCGAATAAACTCTTTTAGCTTTCTTTAATTTTTCTAATTCCATTAGGCTCTTTGCTGTTTATATATGAAATAAATTTTAAAAATTTTATCGCTCAAAAATGGTGTTGTGATTCATGTCAAACATTTCAAATTAAACCAATGCATCTATTTTGATTACAATCTTTGATTTTTTTTTCCTTCTTCCTCTTCTTCCTTCTCTTTTACCTCTGAGACAAAAAGAGTGAGAAGAAAATGTTGATAAAGGCCATGTATTAGCGATGATCATCTCTTCTCTTGACATTATCATTATTATTATGCAATGGTTATTGTTATTATTATTATCGTCATTGTCGTTATCGTCATCTTTTCTTTTCTTTATTATTCCAAAGAATACCATTGAATTGAAAAAATATGAATGCATTTTTCATAAGATTAAAGTACTTTTTTCCTCCTCCTCCTGAACTTGAATATTTTTGTAACGATTTTATACTTTCCCTCTTTACATTTACAATAATCTTTTTCTCTCTTTCTTCCTTTTCTTTCTTTTTTTTGCAGTGAATCTTTCAAAAGAAAAAAGGGAAAGAAACAACTGCGAAGAAAAGGATTTCAATGAAAAATTCAAAAAAATGAACCAATTGCAGTTGGTTACAGAATAAGAAGATGAAAAGTTGGCAACTTATCTCAAATTGCACTTTTTTTCGTTCAAAAATTCATCCTGATAAATGAAAATTCCAAACTTTGATAAGAAAATAGTGGTGACAGTCGAATTTTTTGGATTTGTTAATGTTTTCTTTCTTTTTTTTCATATAAGTACGTAAAACACAGTTATCGTACAGCTTTTTTTTACTTAGACAAAAGCATGCATTTAATCAAGAATATTCACTACCTATCTGTATCATTGATATGATAAAGTTTTGCAAGTTTATTTTAAATGCTTGGCGAGATTCCGATCTTTATTGGAATAGTCCTCAAATTATTTTAAATTTTACCATTGTTTGTTATGTTGGGAATTTTTCATTCGTGGAAAATGAAGATGAAATTTTGATTCAACTGACCTCATTATTAAATTCAAATAATTAATTTAACTCATATGATAAAAACTCAATGTTCCCATAACAATCTAATTAAATCACATTTGTACCGATGGTTAAAAGTAAACGCTTAAACTGATTTGTGAGAACTGAAATTTCCTAAATGCTAATTTACAAAACTTTTCAAATAAATTAGAATTTGAAATTAAATCAGCATTTGATTAAATCAACCAAGTTTCTCCGAAAAGTTTCTCAGTGCTGTTATAAATTGGTGTATTGGTAGATATTTTTATGAGAAAAAACATTTTTGTTCATTTTAATAAATTGATTAATGAACTTCTAATTAAAGATTGCTTTAGTTTCTTAATAAATAGTGGATTGAGTAAAGTTTGAAATCTTTGAAATTCCGTTTTCGTGAATCATCCTTTGATGAGTGGATATTGCGCTTATATTTCTGAAAAGAGGAAATGGAGAAAAAGCATGATAAAGACGCTTAAAGCCTAATTACAAACTTAGGAACGAAAGAAGGAACGCTTCAGCCATAAAAGATTAATTAATTCGGGAGTTCATTTAAAATTAAAGCTTGACTTGTTAAAATCTTTCACGATTCAGGTTGTTTCGTCATTTTTGATTATAGCAGTTGTTTTTTTATTATATAATTTGCATTTCTACTAGAATTATTCGGTTCAGTTGTCAATTTACAAAGCCGCCAAAGAGCGCTTTCAATGACAGCAGCTGTTTTTAGTCGGTCGAAGGATGCAAAAGTAATTTTTATGACTGTTCAAAGAAGAATTCCATCATTCCACATTTGAGTTACTTTATTTCACTGAAATTTTTGTGGGATAGGTGAATAGTTTAGTTATATTTCTCTCTATCCCTTTTTTATTCTCTTTTTTAGTATGAAAAATACTTCAGGAATTGATGGAAAAATCAGAAATTTTTTAATTTCAATCGGATGAGCAAAATGTTTCATTTGAAAAGAGGAAATAGAGATCCGATAAGATGATAGGGAGGTCACACGGATCAATTAACATCCGTTTATTCAAAGACTGCAAAATCATTTAATTATTCTACAATATCACTTTTTTCTAAGTGAATAAATAATGAATCATTTTGCTAACATTCAACCACCAAAACATCCATCTATCCATTCATTCATTCGTTCATCCATTCATTCATCCATTCATTCATTTATTCATTCATTCATCCATTCATCCATTCATTCATTCATCCTTTTCTCTCCACTCCTTAGAGAGAGAAAGAGAGAGAGAGAGAAAAGGGAAAAGCATTTCCACTAAAATACTATCTTCCTTGCATCTCCAATATTATGCTTATTCATCTTCCTCCACCAACTATTCTATTCACGTCTGTTTACACGTCTAATTCATTTTAAGTTTATGCTTTTTAATTTATCTGTGGATAATTTCATTTTCAGTTTGCATTCCTGTTAGCCAATTTTCAGTTAAGCTTCGTTCTTTGTACACAATTGTTTTCTAATGTCAAAGGTTTAAATATTTGTCTTTGTTGAAACTAATTGATCAATCTCCTCAAAATCAATAATCAGTTAATTTGATTTGACATCAAAGATGATTCTAATTAAAAAATCGCTCTATTTCAGTTGTATATTACAGGGTTAATTTTATAAATGAATGATTATTTCTGGAGACAAGCAGTAGTTCAAACTAATTTATTAAAAAAACTTCTGACATCATTTTTTCCATAACGCTTGAAACTTCTTGATTTAGAATTTATGTCATAAAATTATGCATTCTTTGAATAATTAGTAAAGCAAGAAGAATAGAAAATGCTGGCAGAAATAAATGAATAAGAAGTAAATAAATTAGTTAGTGATGACCTATTTTCAAAATTGCGCACTTTCGAAATGATTATAATATAAATTCTTTGGGAGAGAAAGAGGTAGAGAGGGAGAAAGATAACTCTTATATGATTTCCAAGTTAAATACAAACATCACAAATTTAACATTTCGTCATTTCATTTGTCGAGAAAAAAAGTCGCCTGCTGAAGAGAGAAATCGTTTAGTGATTTCCGCACTGTAAGATTATAAGAAATTTATGTTTCGTCACATTTCATTAAATTAAAATTGACTAATAAATGGCCCAAGAATTGGTTGTATTTATTTTTGACTAATTGATCACTAGAAATTGTAATGGTTAGATGGAAATTTGAATTTTAAATATTGTCCAAATTTGGAGTGTTTTCTTGAACAATGGACTTCAATCTTTTCTTTTTCACTCTAAATTTAACTTTAATTTCTTGGTAATGTTGATTTCACTGTTTTTGCTTGATTTATAAGTGCATTGTTATCAATTAAATTGAATTAATCTGAAATAATTATTTATGCTGAAATATATATTTTATAAATAAAAAAATACAAACTCTTCAACTATAGATCGATTTTTATGTCAATTTTGAATTCCTACAACATTCTATTTTTGTTAATTGATAAGTTTGCTAATCCAATAACATTATCACTTTTGCAGGTGGAAAATTGAGAAATGAAACGCATTACAATCTTTCAAATTAATGAAATTTCTTTATTTAGTCTATCCCTATTCTATAAATGATCAGATGAGAATTGTGAAGAAGCAAAGAATTGCCCTAAAATATAACCTGTTGTAGAAACATTCATTTCATATCCGTGAGAAAGCATCCAATCCGATAGTGTGTGCACTTTCGGAAAAATCTTACAATCATCGGAACTGCTCAATTTTTTCATTCCTTTCACTTTTCTAACATTCATCCAAACATTTTTAGGATTGGAGGAAAAATTCCAACTTTAATATTCTCTCGTATTTTCGGCCTTTTATAACAGTAATTTAAACGCTTAAATAGTTAAACTTTAAAATTAGCTAAGATCGATACTGGCCATCTCTGTAAATAGATTAGTGATTAGTGATTAGTAATTCAAACTTGAATCAAACAGTCATATCTTATTTTATGATTCAGTCGTTGGCAATGATCATTCTTTTGCAACACTAATGAATCATCAATCACATCGTTTCTGTTTGCCCTCACAAATTCGATGATGGGTTGTATTTTCCTTGGAAATGAAATCCAGTTGTATTTTTTTTTAATTTCGTAAAAAAATTCTGATCTAAATAGTAACAGTAGCTAATGCTACTATATAGCAGTAGTGGAAATTGAGATGATTTCAATTCAAAACCAATTGAAACATTCAAAAAAGTTTTTTTATATTTTAAAGATTACTGTTGTCTGATTTTTTTAGCATGTTTCTTTGTAAGAGAATATTTCTTCCAAGCTTATTTAATTTATTACTTTTTGTTGATTAATTTCTCTTCCCGTTTTTCGTATCTCTTTCTATTTCTCTCTCTCTCTCTCTCTCTCTCTCTCCCTCTATTTAATTATCGAAGATTTTTTTGGACTTCTTAGGATAAGTTCTTGTGTTATTGAAAAAAGTTGAAATTTACGAACAGGTTGTATTTTACTTTTTGATCTTGTTCTTAATCTAATTAATGATTGTAAATCAAGGCCTTTATATGTTATGAGCTTGTTTATGATAAAAAGACAGGATGACATAGGCGGCTGGCATTATCATGAGGATGATAACTGTACGTTGTCAAAAATATGAAATAGTATATGACTATAATAACTTTAACCTTTTTTCTTAATAATGTGATTTATCGTTTTCACTCGAAGTGTTTTTGCTTTTGTTTTTGCATTCATTACCTTTCAAAATATGCTATCATTTGTTTTGAGCTTACAAAAAAAAAAAAGATTTTTTTTCCCAAAATGAAAATTTTTAGGTAGTAAAATGGCTTTAAAATTAGATACGAGCATGTCATCTATGAATGGTAGTAATAATGACAGTAACGGTAACAGTACTGGTGGTATGATATTCAAAACAAATAGTAATCATTCACCGAGCAGTAACGACTCCGGATTTCATAGTGATCGATTACAACAATATCAACAGTCGAGACAATCACAACGAACGATATCCCGAAATCGTGGTAATATCAAGCATAAGCCAACTTATGTAAGCGTATTTGCTTCTGATCCAGATTGTTCCAGTCCACTGTTTGATGAATTCAATCGACGTTTTGCTGCCAAGTACCGGTTTGAAATGTTTATAGAGAATTCAATACGAAAGTGAAAATTGATGTAGGATTGTTTTTTAGCTAATTATAGATAGGCTTGTCGATCGTAATCATAATCATAATCTTCCTGAAACGATCGATCATCTATTGTGGCTAAAGATATTCAGTTAAGTTAAAGGCATTGAATTCTAATTGTCATATCATATTGATCTCGTCTTGTATCAGTAATTCTAATTTTCGCAAGTTAATTTTTTTTGCAGTCGACCGAACTTTCTTAATGGTACGCTTTCACCACCTACGGGGGATGAAGAGATACGCTCCGTTCCATCGATTACTGCTCCGTTAATAACACCATCTAGACAGTCAATATCACCGTCGTTCATAAATACGAATGTTTCATCGGATACTGTAATTCATCCAGAAACCTCGAAACAAACTTATCTCAATAAGCAGCAATCTCTGCTAACATCTTCTCTTCAACACGAACAACATTTTCAATCTTCTCATTCAAGTACACATCCAGAAACCGCGGTACATCAGAACTTGCATGATACAGCAACACCTTCCAATATTCCTTCATTCAATGGAATATCCAATTCAAATCAATCAATGCAAGAAATTTTGGCACAGAAAAGTTACAAATATGCTCGCCTAAAAAATGAAACGGAAGAAAATACGGCGTATATTAGCGAACAGGATGAAAAGTCAGAAGCACCTACTAGAGAATTGCCGAATAATTTCTATTCAAAATTCCCGGAAAATTTACCAACTGAAGGAGAGATTTCGAATTATCCACCAATAGCTGCTAAATCGGAGGAAGTTTATGTTACTTTATCAAAGTTAACAGATCTTCCAATAACGAAGTTACCGCGCGACAATGAAATAATGGAAACAAGTGGGCAAAATGAAAATGGAAAATTATGCGATGATAAACTCATCGTGAAGCAATCATCTGCCTATGAAATGTAAAAATTTTAATTTTGTAATAAATTTTTAACGAATATGCATTCTTCCTGAATGTTCTAAACAATGGTTGCGAGAGATGGAACGGATTTTTTTAATGCATTTTTTTAAAATGTTTTCTTTTAATTTGAAGTAATGATCTAACTTTTTCGGTATAATTTGTTGTTCAGCTATTTTGTTAATTTCTATTTTTCAATACTCATGTGTTCTGTTTGAAGTTAACTGTTTAGTTAGTGGAATTAATTTAAAAAAATTAGAGTTTTGATTCATGGGAATGTTGGTTTTTTATTTCAATTTTAATTGATGAACATGAATTTTTCAGATGCCATTTGTCGTCTGATTTTGTTACCGAGATGCTGCCAGAAAGTGTGCCTTCAGAATTAGGAAACGCTTCACCTCAACAATCACTTATGAGGCCTGAAGAAACACCAATGTCGAGACTCCTTACTGATAAAATTGTCCCTAAAAATGATGAAGAAAGTTATGGAAGCGCTAATCTAGAAGAACCTCCACTTCAAGTTCTATCTCGTAACCTGGAATTTGAGATGATTTCCCAAAGAAAGACGAAAAATATAACTTTGCTAGAAAAGCCAGAAAATCGACTGATGAAAGCAAAGCAACATAGTGATTATCATGAAAACTTAAATTCACTCGAAAATTCTTCTACGAAAGCTAAAGACATTTCAAAAGCGGAAGCATACTCGGATATGGGAAGAAGTCGTTTTGTTTCATTTGTACCTGCTACAAAACTCAACCAAATTACCTCTCAAAGGCTTTACACGCTGAGAAATCTCAATGGCAACGGTTTATTTTCTGTAATTTTCGTACAAAAATAACTAACAGTATGACAATCTGAAGTATTCCTTAAATTTCCCAAGAATTTCTTACTTGTCTTCATGTGAATAAGTCCCTGTAAAACTGTTCGTCTATGGTATTGGATAGTCCTCTTTCCAGAAAATTTTGAGGAATAATATTTGAATGCGAGTTTTAGTTCTGGGAAGTCGGGATCCGGGTTCCTTAAAACTTAATTCTCGTTTTGAAGTCATCAGAAATATCCCCTCCAAAATCTCCTCCAAATCTAATTCCTTATTACATGAAACATTGAATGATGCTTCGAGAAGTTCAGATTACTTGATGAAACCGGCTGGGAGGAATAATCGATTTCATATTTCTTGTATCGGTAGAAATTAAGATTCTCTTTGCTATGTTAAATAGCACTGTAACTGTTTCAGAAAAGTCCACTTCGGCTATGTTTGAGAAATCTGACTCAATCGTCTCTACCAAATCCATCCAGGAAAATTCTGTTCTATCAACTTCGAGGAAACCGGAGCATTCTCGTGGAATTGACCGGATAGTTTTCACAAATAACGAATTGCAAACAACGACATCGTCAAATGAAAAGTTCGAAAAGCCGGTAGCACCAATTGCTCCACGACGTGCTAGAGATGATGACAAACCAGTTCCGTTTAATAAGCTTATTGAAAAGGCAATTTTTTGTTTTCATTTTATTTTTGAAATTAAAAATTGCTAAAATCAGTGGGTTCTTTCTCGCTGATTTTACTCTAATTTCTAATCGAAATGATTTATTGGTCTTGAAACTATTACCATTGCTGATTAATTTAATTATGATTTTTCCACTCAGACGTTATTTTAATTGAAATTATGCTTTCCTCCCTGTTTTCAGTCAATCTGTTATTTCATCCATTTTTGCTTTATTAAAAATAAATTTTTATAGTTCACAAAAGCAGATAATGGTGCAATTCCAACACCGAAAGCATTTCAATGTATTTCGAGTTCGAGCAAATCTACTACGCTGCGAAACAACAGCAGTTGTAGCAGTAATGTTTCGAAAACGGCAACACCAAATCGGTACACCTCAAAGAAAATTCCATATGACGGTGGTAACAGAATAATTAGTGAAAAATTCACTGAAAGAAATTCCACTACTACTGAAACTTCAAAAAATAAATTTTCAACTGTTAACAGTGCATCAATTTCACAAGTGGGGAATTCGTTTGCAAAAGCGAGAGCATCCTTTGAGAAGGTAAATTCATTTTAAAAATTGATAATACATTGGCATATTTTAACACCATATTCTTTGTTTCGTATTTTATTGAAATGAAATGGCAAAATACAAAAATGAATAGTACTGGAAAGAACTTAGACTAAGTTTCGAAATTAGGCCAATAAAGTTCATGAAATAAAAACTTTAAGATTTCGTTTAAAACGAAGTGGTAAAGTAAGTGCAAATAAAGCTCCTAAAATATTTGTGCTTCTTATGAAATACCATTAAAATGACTGTATTTTTCTCGTCAATTCCACATCATATATTTTGTCAGATGCTCTCTTCACATTGTCAATTTTAATAATTATTTGTTTTAAATATTTTACCGATAATGCTCTTTCTCTCTTTCTTGAAATTGATATTGTAAGGAAGGAGAAGTTTATAACAAAAGTACAATTCGTTACAGAATGCAGAATTTCTTCCAGTGATCTCAGGATCACATAAAACTGAGAAGAAATTCATCTCTGCCATCGAAGAAAAATCTTCCAATATTATTCAACAGTATGAAAAAGTTGAGAAGAAATCTTCGATTATAACAAAAGAGAAAGAGAAAGAATCTTCAGAAGTGTGTTCATCCATGATGGAAAAAGTAACGAATACAAACATGTATCCATCTATATTGGAAACAGAATCTTCTGTAACAGTCATGAAAGGTTCAGAAATAATTTTTATTCATTTATTTCATTTTCCCATCAATTCAATTAACTAATTAGAATTAAGCAGCTTGATGCTTTCTGTTAGGATTACATGAGAATAGTTATATTTTTTAATGATAAGTGAAACATTTTTATAATTTTTTAAAAATGGATCAGTTGAAGGGCTCGATTTCTCACGATTCGATCATATAGCAGATAATGAAGTGATCGGAAGACCGCTTGAAGCAGATGAAGCGGAACAAACGGCATTACAAATAATCAAAGAGGTAACATCAAACAGTGAATTGCATGCGCGAGAACAGCCATCTGAAGTCGAGGTAACATTTAAAAGATTTCAAATTATTTAAGTTCTTATCGACTATTTATCATCTTCATAAGTAATATATTTATATTATTTGCAGTATGATTTTTGTTTCCCTGACTGTTTATCATCCGTTTATCAGTATGATATTTTGAAGATTCAACTGCTTGATGGCTAATTGCAGTTTTAAAGTTATATTTGAACTTTAAAACTCAATTTGGAAATGTGTTGCATTTTGCTTTTTCGTAGAATTTGAAATGGCTTTAAAACTATTCATATTCTTCTCATATTTGTATTTCCAATTTTATGTCGAAATCAGTGATATTTTCTTTCATCTATTTAACATCGTTCAAATATTTCAGTTAATGGAGTGCAAAAGTTTGTTGGATGAAAAATTTGCTGATTACGATATTTTCAAAGTAATACTGAAAAGATCAGCAAATAATCCGGAAGGTTCAATTGGTGTAATTCTGAGTTCAGCAGCTTCCGGTGATCAATATATTAGTGTGAATATTTGAATTAAATTGGTTGATCTGATTTGAATAACTAATCAATTAATGAAGTGTGTGGAGTGCAGTTGAATAATGATTTTACATATACGTTCAGGTGCAAAGGGTAATATCGGGTAGTATCGCGGATCGAAGCGATCTTATCGAAAAAGGCGATCGTGTTTTCTTTGTGCAAGGTCACTCAACGAAACAAGTCAGATGATTTCTCCTTGTTGTTCATCTTTTATACTTTCCAAAATATAGCTAAATTGACTTTTGATATTAAAAGGTACTCGAAGAGTGTTTTTATTGATTTCTTATTATATACATTGATATTACTTTATTGGTTATTCCAGATGTCAGCTACAGATGCACGAACTTTAGTCAAACAAAGAACTGAACATGTCGTTTTCATACTTGGACGACTGAAGACAAAATCAAATGACATGCAAACTGAGCCTACTAAATTTGTTTCCATCGGTAAAATCATTTTAGATTATGACCCACAAATCTTCAGTTTAAAATATATTGAGTTTCCTTAAGAAATAAACAATTTCTTTGCGAATTAGTAATAACGAATTAATTAAAAGTGTGCAAAAAACGACTTACCAGTTTTTTTCTGTTTAAGCTACTGCTGATCCTCATTTATTTAATTACTCAACGGATTCCGAAGAAGTGATACTGACAAAAGGTAATCTTGGTGTCGGTTTAGCGCTTGATGGTGGCCGTGGGTCAGTGTTTGGTGATCGACCAATTGTTATCAAAAGGGTTTTTGAAGGTAATTTATCAAGTATTGTAAAAATAGTGATTTACTTGATTTCGTTAAAAAACGAACGACAACAAAATCTATAAATAACAAGTCTGTTCAGGAAAGTTTTCGAAAATTTTAATTTCTATTACTATCATTCACTAAAACTGTAATACTTGACTTTAAATAATAATCTAAATTATTTTTAACCTTCCTAGGCGGGTCTGCAGCACGTAGTGGTCGTATAAAAGTTGGTGATCAAGTGATCACAATTGATGGAATCGATGTAAAGGGTATGAGTTATCTGGAAGCAACAAAAACGCTTCGATCACGTCCAGAAGGACCATTAAAGCTGGTTATACTTCGTCGTTTGTAATACAGTGATGTACAAGTACATTTTGCTCGTTCTTATGCTCAAGTTTAGTTGATGCAATAAAATTCCACTGATGAAAAAACCTAAATAATGACTTTTTGTGTAATAATTGGTGTTGCATGAAGTTGGGTCATGGCAATAGCTTGGATTTGTAGATTTTTTCATCTGGTGGTTTTAGTAATGGTTGAGTGAAGAAATACTGTTAATTTGACTGAGGATGCGAATTTTTGGGCATATTTGGACTTTTTTCAATTATAATCATGAAATGCAAAGAACTTCATTTGTTTAAGTTGTAACTACAGGATTCATATATTCCAAACCAATTTTTATTTGAACGATAGGCGAACGCATGTAAAAATAAATGTTATTCAGCAGAGTGAGCTGCATTTCAGTTTATTTAATTACTACTGGATTTGACGATGTGCATGTTTTGTACATTTAAATTGGCGCATCTATTTGTAACAATATATATATATATAATGTTGAAGAGGTTTCATTCATCTTCAGAAACATTTTTTACATAACTAACTTCTTGGTCTTTATGGCAGAAATGAAATGAGCCTTATTTAACCTAAAGTTTATTTATCCAGACCGAGAATGCGGTAGTTCTTTTATGAAAGTAACTTGGTTTAGATTTCTTGGATCTCTGCTTGGTTTCTTAACACCAAGTTTTCTGTCGAGAAAATGATTCACAACGGGAAATATTTTTATTTACCAGTACAGATCTTACTCAAATGATTCTACCAATTTTTCTTTACAGAAAATATGACACCAAGAAAATGGAACGAAATAAAACTCTCCGCAATCGTCAATAAAGTTAGTGCATAAATAAGAGTTAATCAGACTCTAGTGATGGTAACACCGTTTCAACCGAAGATTTTGTCATAATACCCTATGAAGTAACCGAATCCAAATCGCAATAATTTCGTAAATAACAGTCATTATTTAGTTGCCTTAAGAAAGATGTGGAGATATATACACTTGAAGAAGCTTTGATGAATCCAAAAAATTTGAAGAGTAATTCATTAATGTGCAAATATCACTTAATAAGGATATGATACGTCTGAAATAGAGACAAGAACCATTACGATTTTTCTTCGAAATTTGCAATGTTTCATTTCCTTACTTATGATTCGCTATTCTACATTGAATCTTTAATCGAAAACAATATTTTTCTAAAGAGTACTTTTCTCGGTGTTGGATTCTCTAAACATGAAAATTGGACGAAAAATAACTTGAACTATGAAGCTGCCTCAGCTTCACAACGACAGGAAAAATTTTCACCTTGAGAAGATTAACAACAGCATTCGAGAGGACAAAATACTATGGAGTTGAGGTGATGACAAAAGTTCCATGATTTTGAAGAGATCCATGAGAATGTTCATGGAAATGAGTGTCAAAAAACCGCAACCCACCGATCAATGCAAATCCTATCAACATAAAAATAAGTTTTAAAAGATTAGGATGCTCGTTATCTCGTTCGTGTAACAAAACCTGCAAAACATAACACTTCAAAATAATTTCTTACTAATCTTTTGATATAACTAGTTTTTCAGAATCAGTTACGCCTTCGGTGCAATGATTTTGGTACTGCCAAGATTATAAGCGTCTTTAATAAATCGAATAAAAACGTGATTGTTTACCTCAAAAAATGTGACATAAATAAATGTGCCAACAGCAACTCCTTGAAAAATAAGTATAGTCAAAGCTTTCACTTGTGTGTCCATTTGTGAGCTTTGAACAAATGTACCAATAAAACCACCAAAAGGCGACATGATCGAAAAAAGGCCCATACTCAGGCATACCCAGCCTAAGGCATGCGCGTGAGTGCGGCCCAATTGTAGACCAACCGAAAACGCCACAATAATTTTGTGTACCATCAGCGATATAAATAATGTCACAATCTGAGAATTATCAGTCTGAAAAAATTGACGACATAATGCTATATATACAACAATAATTTATAAAAAAATTATGGTAAACATTTCCATAGTGTTATTAAGAAAACAAAAGAGATAATTCCAAAATAAAAATGGCAAAAACAAAGTGCTGTCTAAACTCCATTTTTTTTTTCAGATTGCAGTTAATATAGCCCGACTTTTCTGCTCTGCGCCTTTTTCCTTTTACTAGCATATTAACTTCATATTACCTAATATTTATTAATCAAAATAAGAGAACTACTAAACCTGAACACCGAAAGCGAGACCTTCAATAATTGAATGAAACGATATTGCCAGGATAAATGTGATACTACGTACACCATGGCTATGAGCATGCGGACGACTTTTCATTAAAATTGGTGGATCTTCTTTAACATTATCACAGTTTCGTTCACATGCTTCTGGTTCTGCCAATGTCAAAGCCCTAGAACAAATAAAGGATAATTAAAAGATAAATATAAATACAAGTTCTGTAAAGTTTAAAAAGGTCAGCGTGTATTTGAATATATAACGATAAAGTATGAAAGTTAAGAATTCCATTATAACCAAATACGTCTTGCTTCTAAACTAACAAGTTATCTATCAGAGATTTTCATCTTTCTATTTTATTAATAGTAGGCATAAAGAAATCTAAAAGATACAGAATATTTATTTCTTTAGTAACAAAATTTCACTCCTTAAATCTTTTATGATTGCGCAAAATATTTTTACTCATACTACGAACAGCAAAAAATTACAAAATACAAAAAGCCTAAAAAAGATAGGTACTTAATCTCAAACATATAATACGCAGAGAAATAAAGTATTTGTCTATTATTAACAGATAATGATAACTACTGCCCAGTAAATAATAAACTTCATGCAACTCCAGTAGTGACATGAAAAGAACATGAAAATAAAAGCAAATTAGTCGAGGAGTTATAAAATAACGAATAAATGTTAAAATAGCAAAAATATAAAGATAAGCTGCAAATAAATACTTTCGTTTGCCTGATGATTCCTGATTCAAAGATTTCGGGAGCACGGTACCATATTCACCGCCGCACGTATATTTTTGGAGCAAAGGCGTTGAGTCTTTTCCACTGAATTTCAACATAAAAAAATTGAGATGCAAATCCATGCTCTCTGTTCAAAAAACATTGGGAGATCTATTTACAAAGAAAATCATGCTTGTTTCTTAAACATATCATGCGAAAAATTGATTCATCGAAGAGACACATAGAGAGACAAAACAGGTCTTTAACCAATGAGTTCATGGCATGCAATCCTTACAAAATGCTGGAAATAAAATTCATATAAAATATTAGAAAAGTGTTAAAACTTCATACTTACTCTACATGATGTCCACAATCAGGTCCTTTGTTAACGCGCTGACTACCTACTGGTGCTCGATTCGATGAATTTGTTGCACATAGTAATCCTTTGCTAGACAAATCCTCGTCTGTAACGTAAACAAATTTATTTCTATCTTAAAGTACAAAACTACTCATAAGTACCGAAAAGAATTTCTAGACTGCAAAGACTTTTGGAATAATTAATATTTGGTCGATGCTTAAAGCCTACCTTTTGGACCACATGATAAGCAAGTTTTCGAAGAAGCATCGACGTTAACATTTTCATGGCAACAGTGATCGGCATCATGATTTCTGAAGTTTTGAATTTTCAAAACACATAACGTGAAATACTATAAATGAACCAGTTTCATTAGCGGTATCGACAATTATCCAGTGATATTCCAAAGCATTGAAAAGCTTTGTATCCACAACAGATAGAAATCGTAATGAAAGCATATCGAAAAGGATCCAATATACAAATAACTGCTAATTTTGAGTATTAGAATTAAATACCTATCATATGTTATGAGCCTTGTTTCTACATTTGCTACCCGTCTGCAAATTATTCCACTATTTAGTAAATCACTCAAGCATTTTACATTTCAGCAAAATTCATCTCCCCTCATTAACTATGTTCTCATTTTTGGTAGAATAAATCGTCCCTTTTAATTGCAAAGCGCTGTCTGGTATTAGGCAAAATTATATAGCGCTGTTTGGGTTAGGCAAAATTGCACTTTTGCTCATCAATTTTTTACACAGTGCCAAGCCCATCTTCATTTGCACTTAGAAATTCTCATAACAAATTAAAACAATTTTTTTCCAAGTAATGCACAAATCATTCACGCAGCACAGAACAGCACACATTATACTTTATTTTTCAAAAACTGTGACTTTTCTCGACTTTTGAGCTCTACACTAGTGGCGCAAAACTTCTTCATTATGTTTTTTACCTCAACAAAATACTCAAACTTATTCCACTGTATAACTTTTAAAAATGCTATTTATACCAATTATTTGAACTGTTGTACAGTGTATTTATGTTCCATAAACTTAATCTTCCCAGAGAGTAACAGACATATTTCATATATTTTGATTCTTATAGTCAATTACTCATTTACACTTACAGTCAATTACATTCGCTTCGGACAAAAATAGAAGCGAAAGAAAACTTCATGAAATAGAAACATGATACCCCGGAATCATCGGTAAAGCAAACATCGAAAATCATTACGTCACTGACATCATGAAGGTTATAGCATTTTAACTGTGCAATATCTCATCCTTCTTATTATCTAATATTAACTCACCGTTCATAAAATCCCTCAGCCATCTGAGTACCTGTTGGACCATGCAAATGGCCAGCACCGGGTATAAGAAGCAAAATAACTTCTTCAACAAAAAACAGAAGAAAAAATCCTATGCAAGACAACAATTCCGCTAGAGGATATGATACGGAAAACCCATATTCTTGCTTCATCTAAACAAATAGCAATAATTAGTCAACACTCAATTTCGAATCATGCTTACTTTACATTTGAATTTGTTATCAAATAATGCTGATTATGGAAGGAAATGTATAAATTTAAAAATGAACATCCAGAAAGAAAGAGAATTTCCAGGCGAACCTAAAATTTTTAGAAAAAATTGCGTTCTAAGGAGTGAAATTAATTTTGACTTACAGTTACTAAATTATGTAACTGTACTTCCAAATAATTGAGAAATAATCCAATTTTATTTTTCTTTAACGAGCAATGCAATTTGAGACGAAATAACCTCATTAAGACACTCAGTTAGTTCCGGAAAGAGATGCAAAAAGCATGTAGCGAAGAAGACACCACCAGAAAAACATGTAAGTAAACATAGCACCAAGGAGACGTTTCGCTGTTTCGCGGATGTAGATGCTGAAGCTGCGTGCTTGCGGAGAATTTTAAGCACCTGAAATCTGTTGAAATTCCCTACAGATCAAGTTGAGAACTTGGAATTTTTGTTCGAAACTCTGCTAGAGTAACAGTAACTGTCTTTACAAATTCATCTTTCTTGCGCCAAACTTGCTATTCTTTGATTAAAAAACATTTGAGATCTCAAAATTACATACTCTATCAGACGATTACTGCTCATGGTCACTACACTTATCTTTTCTGCAAAGTGAATAACTGCATTTCTATATAGTATTTATCTTTCAGCTAATAGGTCATATTTGATTACCATGCAATCACACAAATTTTAAACAAATGAAAAAATTATATTGGAAAAGTAGCATACTTTTACTGGTACCATTCCTGCACCAAAAGTAACAGCGAACATTACAATCAGAAGAATAAATTTCAGCCAAGTTGAATTCATTGTCTTTTCTACTTATCCTTTGAATGCAGCCATGAAATCAGTAAACTGCAAAATTCCTATCTTTTTTCAATGAATTCTCCATTACTTTTAGTCTAAAAACCAGATTCGGTTTGATTTAAATCATAATTCATGCCATACTAAAAACAAAGTATGAACTAACCAATGAAGGAACAAATATGAAGTTCGATAAAATAATTAGTAATGACAAATCAAAGGAGTAGAAATAAGTGCCATGAAACGCGAAAAAAAAAGACGTACTTAAAGAGCTATGACGCTATTCACGATATAACAGCAATATTTGCAGTGGCAATAAATTTAAGAAATAATAAAAAAGAAATAATAAACAAAATGTTTTATAGCATATAAAAGAAGAGCAAGAGTAACAGATTTTTCACCAGGAGAAATGAGAGCAAAATTTAGCACAAAAAAGTAGAATTTCTTCCAAATTATGAAAATTTCAAGTTTTAGTACAATTAGCATTTCCTATTTAAAGGGGACATAATTACTAGTAACAATTAATGCAGTACGAATAATAAAATGTCAGTAAAAATATCATTTCATCAAGTTTAAATTCCAAGCTAAGAATCAAAACGGGTATTTTTAAATGTCCTGCGATGATGATGCTGATTACTTTCAACCCCCAAACTAGCATTAGAATCAAAGCAATAGTTTTAAACTATGTCCGATTTGAACGAGCATGCTCTTGATGATTTCATATTTCATTTAATAAAAGTGATGTCATAAAATACTCCGAAACATTCGGACTATTTTATGACATCACTTTTATTAAATGAAATATGAACCTTTTTCTTGATCATAACTACAACTGCAATATTACAGTTATGCTCCTTATCTAAAACATACAGTAATAAGGAAACATTATTTCAGATTCAACTAGTAATTCGGAGCTACTTCTACCTATTCAAGTATTATTAGTATTATTAGAAGATATGAGAACATATAAAGAAGTGAGCGAACAGTGGTAGCATACATTCAATACTGCAATAATATTCAAGCAGCACACCTTTCACAGCAAATATTGTCAACATACTTTTTCACGCTGCTGCATGCTCGCCCATTATACTTTTGTTACTTTAAGTTTGCAATGATTTCATCTAATAAAAGAGATGTCATAAGAATACCTTGAATGGCTTTTAAACCTTTCCTTTCGTCATAGCGCTGTTACAAAACAACATAAAAATATTTATTTCAAAATAAATAAAAATCGAAAAATAAAAATCCTACTCATCTATGTAGACGCGATATAAGAAAAAGTTCGCCGACTGAAACGAAATTCACATGCATAATTTGTTAGTGACTCCTGTTCGGTTAAAATGATTAAAAAAATTTTGTTAGCGACTTCTGTTCGGTTAAAATGATTTAAAAAATTTGTTAGTGACTCTTATTCAGTTAAAATGATAAAAGAATGAACAGGAACATGCTCTGGCATATGTTTGCGTGGCTCTAGGTAAGCAAGTTCGATTAATGTGAACGTTCCAGCAACGTTACCACCAGCCTTCTCGATGAGCGATATAGCTGCTTTTAAACTACCACCCGTTGCTAAAAGATCATCCACCAATAATATTTTTGAACCCTGTTTGATTGCATCTTCTTGTACCTCGATTATATCCTATAAATCGAAATATTGCGATCTCGCATAAACTAGAGGAATGAATTTAGACTTAATTGCAGCATTCTTCAAGACATATAGCACGACATTTAGAAAAAAGTAGAGTCAAATAATTGAGTATTTCCCCACGACATTGTGATTCCGATTAAATTCAATTATAAATTTCGAACTAATATGAATTCGACTTTTGAAATACATATAAAACTCAAAAAAATAAAACAACTAACTTCGCCGTATTCCTTTTGGTAGACTTCTTTGTATGTTTTTCCTGGTAGCTTGCCTTTTTTTCTAATTGGAATAAAAGGCACTTTCAATATCATCGCGATTTGGAGACCAAATAAAAAACCTGCATTTCGTATAAACATATAGGCGACAAAAGTTTGAACATTGGCTAGCAGTTTATTTGTTCGCACTTCGATTACTTTACTTTATAAACACCTCTTTAAAAATAGGCAGTTTTACCTGATGGAATTAACCTAGATGGATGGTCAAACATTAAAAATGAATATACTCACCACGAGCTTCTAAACTAGCAATTGCATCTATTGCAACCGGTATTTCAATACGAACATACTCAGCTATTGCTGCACACAGTTCTTTGAGTAACAACGGATAGCGCATTAATACCATTACATCTCTACAAACAACTTCCCTCGTGCAGTGAAAAAGTAGAAAAAGGAGGACCATGATGTTATCAATATTATCAGATCTAAACAGATGAAACGGCTATTTAATCCTTCCTAAAGCGTTCTGCTCGCTCTGGTCAATTAATAGCCCCAGAGTGTGGCGTAAAACTCTATATTTTTTAAACTTGTCATGGTCTTTTATCTATATTAACTGTTATAATTAGGCTTTCTGCTCATATGTGATTCATTTTTTACAGCTCACTGGTCCCTGCATTACTTTTCTAATGATAAATCATCTGTAAGATGTTCTTTTCATTTTGACCTTAAAACCTTTCTCTGAAACAAATACCAAAGGCACTGGGATTGGAAAACAGATTGGCCACCTTAAATTATACTATCATTATGAAACAAATGCCAATATGGCAAAAATTTTTCTGCAAAATGACATTTTATTTTTCCACTAGTTATTTTACAACGCAAAAGAAAAAGGTCTCACATAAATTTGATCCCTGGCTTTGGAAAATCCGGGAAAACTCGCAATTTCGATCCAACTTCCTCTTTTAGACATTTTAGCTCACGTTTACTTTGTGACGATGGTATTTCCGCTTGGTCAGTCATAAGGTATGAATTCTCGTCTTGAAAATCTGAAACTCAATTCCTGAATTTCTGATTGTTATTAGGAAGGTCATAGAGATGGCGGCAGTTCACTGAAGAAAGGAAAATACAAGGTCAAACCCTGTTCAGCTTCCAAATAATTCCCCACTCTTAGATTCCCACTCTCACCAAGCAATCCACCCTCGTCTGACTTCGCACCACCTCTGCGCTCTACTACCGCAACACATTTTCAAGCCTGTTGCACAAGGCGCCGAGCAATATTTCACGGCTAATTAAATGTCTTGTTTTGCTGATAGGGATAGTCGACGCAGTAAGGATGTGTCGGATTCCTTTGTACACGTTTGGGTAAACAACGTGTGTATACGTTTGACTTAGTACGCAGGAAACAGTCTGTGTTGGTCTAATGCTTGTGTGCTATACTGTTTATTGCAGGTAAAGGATGTTAGTGCTGTTCGAGACGGCTGCAGGATATGCGTTGTTCAAGGTTACAGTTTAATCTTATTAGCTTGCATATATGACATTTTGAGCTATTGAAATAGAATTGAGATTTTGAGAGTCCTCAGTTGTCTTTTGAAAGAGTAACTTTACGGAAATATATGTGAGGGCTGTAAATTTCAGGTATTGGATGAAAAAAAGTTGGAAAATGTGGATAATATTTGGGATGAGTGTTCAACACCAGAAAAAGCGCAGCGAATGTGAGTTGATATGGCGGTTATGATTAGATTTGGAGTACGGATTAATTTATGATTTGGCAGATCTGAGGATAACTGTTCAAGGGTTTTTCTTCATCTTTTTTCATCTCTCTTGTGTTTTTCCCTAATAACTGAAGGTAAGAGGCTAGTGAATATTGTAAATTTCAAATACTGATTGTAATGATGAAATTATTAGTGTCTTTAGTAGATTCATAAGGTCTACTAAACTCTTTATTGATTTCAGGTTTCAGTTGGTTTCTTTCAAAAAATTCAAAGATACAGCAGAAGCAGTAGAAAATGTTACTCGTTTGGCGGAAGGAAAGCTGACTAAAGCACTGAAAAAAGCTCTGAAAGGGAAATTACAGAAGGGTGAACAACTTGCTGTTGGTGAGGTGAAATTGGGAAATGTAATTAAAGTGAGCGTTATTTAATCAATTCTATCACAAAATAGTGCCCAGCTAATTGACTTGCAGATGTCCTGGATTTTTTTACATTTTAGACAAGGAGATGCATAACTTTTCTACAATGAATAGTTTAATCTTGTCATTTTAATAATACTTCCTTGTCTTGTTATGGCTATGGTTGAAAACGTTTTGCTAATAACAATATTTTAAAGAGAAACAGTTTCTGACCATATGGTACAATACTCAATGTCCTGACATTGAGTTTTGGGAAAAAGTACCACTTTTTTTAAAAGGTGAAAGGAAATTTTTGAATGCATAATGAAAGCACATATTTTAGGAAAAATTCGACGTATCATGTGTTTATAATACAATGACTCAGGAACTTATGCGTAGTATTCGGGCAAACTTGGATAGTTTGTTAAATGAGCATAAACGAGAGCTACACTCTATGAACCTGGCCGTGGCTCATTCGTTGGGTCGATATAAAGTGAACATTTGTTCATATATACATATAGTACTAATTTGTTACTGATGGACTGGAGATGTGTGAATTTTTCTGATTTTCTATATAACTGCGAGGATGAATTGTTTTACAGCGTTAAAAATTCTGAAAGAAGTCTTTTATATTGACAGTAATGGTCCAGAGAAGCTGATATTAGAATGTTTTTTGGTTCTCGAAATTTGATACTTTTCAGGTTAAATTTAATCCTGAAAAAATTGATACGATGATTGTGCAAGCAGTATCTTTACTCGATGATCTCGACAAAGAAATTAACAATTACGTGATGAGGTTTGATTTATTATTTGAGAAAATATTACATTGTTAATTTTGCTCAACTCTACCAAATCTCAATGTAACTTGCTTTAGATGTCGAGAGTGGTACGGCTGGCATTTTCCAGAATTGAGTAAATTAATTCAAGATCACCAGGCTTATACACAGGTGCGTAAACAGATCTTTGGCAACTGCTGCTTTTTAATTCGAAATATGGGATTTGTGTAATTTTATTTTGATTCAGACTGTCAAAGTCATGGGAATGAGATCAAATGCCGCAAATTGTGACTTGTCAGATATTTTGCCACCAGAGCTGGAAGCGCGTGTTAAAGAGGAAGCAGAAATTAGTATGGGAACTGATATATCCGATTCAGATGTGTTGCACATAAGTGGATTATGTGAGCAGGTAGATTTAAAATTTATCCAGACTAATGAAATTGCCCATCATTAAGTAAATAAATAGTTGCTCAAAAAAAGATCTGTCTGAATTTGCTACGAAAAGGAGTTGATATTTGTTTGTAATTATTATTTTTTAGATTATTGAATTGGCAAAATATCGTTCTGAGCTGGCGGATTATTTAAAGAACCGAATGATGGTGCTTGCACCTAATCTTACTATTTTACTCGGTGAATTGGTTGGTGCTAGGTTAATTTCTCATGCTGGCTCACTGGTGAACCTTGCAAAATATCCAGCATCTACGGTACAGATATTGGGTGCAGAAAAAGCCCTCTTCCGAGCGCTGAAAACGAAACGAGATACTCCTAAATACGGCCTCATTTACCACGCTCAACTTATTGGTCAGGCTAGTACAAAAATCAAAGGGAAGGTACAGTGGTTTTATATATATATATAATTTATAAATGAAATTTTTTACTGCGTCACTGGTTGTCGCTCCATTTCATGCTAATTGTTAGGTAGCACGTAAATTGGCGGCAAAGGTGTCGCTAGCAACTCGAATAGACGCACTAGCGGATGAATCACTGGGAACTGAGTCTGGAGAAAAAAGTCGAGCTTATATCGAAACATTTATTCGAATGGAGCAAGAACGAGGTCCAAAGAGAATAACGGGAAGACCTGCTCAACATGATACTTATACATTTAAGAGGTGATTTTACTATTTTATTATCCAGTATTGCAGGCCATGTTTTTGCTTCTTCCTAGAAGAATGATGTACTGTCTTTACGACATTTATATGAATGATTATTTTACGCAGTGTGATATGAGTAGAAAGTTTTTTAAAGATTTGCTTCTCTTATAGAAATTACCTGCGTTTTTATAATCTTTTGCTGAAATTCTTTTTTTTCCATTTAGTTTTGCAACCGCCATCAGTTTTTGATAGAAGTTCAAATTTACATGCTTTTCAGTACTACAACTCGATACGATCCTAGTACAGATTCAACAGTAAAAAGTTCTAAGAAACGAAAATTTTCTGAAAGCAGTGATGTTAGTAGTGGTAGAAGTCATGTTACCGTGAATGAGGCTGAAAATAGGCAAATTAATAAAGATGGTCCATCGCAAAGAAAACACAAGAAAAAGAAGGTATTATATATTTCAGTATTTAATTTTCCCAAAACATTGTTTTCCTGAATTATATTGTCAAAGGCTTTAAACTGACAATTATTTTGGATGCGTAATATTTTTTAAGAGTGTCTCGTAATTTCTAACAAGAGCTGATTTATTTTCTTATCAACTTGTCTTGTAATGTGCGCTAGTAGTTTGTGAAGTGATCAGTTTAATCTGAAATTAAATTTGGAGGTTTCATTTATTTTGTCCAAATAATTGTTGATTTTTTTCTGGTAATCAGTTAAGATACCAAATATTCAAGTCGGATCAATCTTCTAAATCAAAATCTTAATCTTAATGCAAAATCAAATTTTAATGAGAATATAGTAAATATAAGTTGAAATCGGGAAATGATGTGAAATAGAAGCTGCAAATGCGAACTTTGGAATAAGTAAAATATATTCTCTTATTTTTTTGCAGGTCAAGGAAGAAATTGATGAATAGAAGTCGTTAGAGCATCCAATATCACTATTACTTGCCAAATACAATTGCGTCTTCACTTCTGTGTGTGGAACAAATTTCTGTAGTCAATAAGTTTTATAGCCTCAGGAAATATAGTGCGTTTATCATGCATTTGTAAGGGAAAATTTATTTAATAATGGAATTTTAAGTTAGACTGGTAGCTTGAGTAATTCTTCCGGCTTAATTGCCATTTATTGAGGCTATACAATGTTGCTGTTTGTTATCCTTTGTTGTTTGTTGTAAGTTGAAAGTTCGATAAAATTAAATTTTTTATCTTACATATTGTCCATTCAGCATTCACACGAATATATACCGTCACGCAGTGCTCAATTTTTCCATCCACAATCTTATTTGTCATATTCATAAAGCTTATTATCATTATTTCCTCGCAATTCTGAAAATTGAAACTGTATTTGCCTTGAAACTAAGTGTAGGACTATGCAATTACTTCGAGGTTTTTTTTGTAAGGCTTCAGGATTAATGAATATGCACATATCAGAATGAATATTTGCTGATGACTAATGCGAACACATTTCACATAGCAGCATTAGATGTTGCAAGGAAGATTTTTATGGTTAGTATCGGTAATCAGTCCTCGTCACGGGTAATCCAATTCCAATTACTGTTTCTTCCTTAACAAATATTAAATATCTGGAAGTTTAAAGAAATATCAATTTCAGATGAAAGGGAATGCTTTGTTACTTTTTATTCATCGTTGGTTTGTTCATTTTGTCGTTCACCGAGAAAGCTGAAGATGCACTTTGTTTTGGCACACTTAGACTTGACTTACCAGTTCGCTATTTGCATATACAGCTTCGGCATAATGAAACGAATATGAGAGAGTCTGTAGGCTCTTTGAAAATATCCATTCAAGGATCTTGTCGTCACCGGTTACTTTTTCACTGAAACAAGTCAAGTTTTTTAAAATTGTACTCAAAATACTGTTGTTATTATTATAAATGACATTACATTCAACATTATTGATTTATAGAAATTTTCAGATTCCAACTACTTGACTATCATGACGGTTCATATGTGTTACGATTACGATTATGGTCTTCTTGTCTGCAGATGATTATAAGTATTCATACTCCAAATGACGTCCCATTGTGTGATTCCCCAATTGTGATAAAAAAAGGTTTGATAATCATTAATAAAATTGTCATGAATTGTTATGCATATATAGATGATATCTCACGTTTCATTTTTATCTTTTGCGAAATGATGTTGAATATGCGATTTCTAAACATATTATGATTCTCAAATAGCTTTAACATTATTTAGCTGATGGAAGTTTGCTCTATTCGGAATATTGCAATTGTCCCAAAACGATCGTTTCACAATGGATGAAAGAAGCTGGTTGTAAATCACAGCATTCACAGCTTGACAGTGATTTGAATCAGTGGTCCACAATTAATTTTGAAGAAGTATTAACCATAGTGAAAAAGAAATGGGCAAATCCGCAGCATCGCTACAGCAATGCATTATGCCATTATCAAATTATTGAAAACAACGTAAGCGTTTCTAGATAATTGAAATTTTACACGCCTTCTGCAGATCCGTGTAACGCATTTTTTCATCACATTATTTGATTCTCGACATGACTGAAGTCACTTCTATTAATATAATTAGAACTAAATTTTGGATAGATCTTTTTGTTTGATTGTGCAATTCATCCCCGTATTGGCAGTAGTATTATCAGATGATTATTGTTCGCTTATAATTTCTTAGCTGTCAAGAAAACAGAAAAGTCTAATTTATTATTTTATTTTGAAATCAGCTGTTCATCTTCAGTTATATAGACGATGTTTTGGAGAATATACGGGTTTTCGGATATTTGTTGATGCGACATTCACGTCACTGATGAGAAAAATGTATTTACCAAATACTGAATTTATATTCAATCTCGGCGATTGGCCGCTGGTAAAAGCAGGAAGTGACTTGGTTCCAATAATTAGTTGGTGTGGTTCCCGAGGTGCAATGCTGATGTATTTAGTCAAAATAATTCGAATAATAGAGATTTTGACAAAACAAATAATGAAAAAGATATGAAGAACCGATTAGCATAGGTTTGAACTCATGTCACTCCATCCTCAGTTCTTTGCTCAATTAAATCTGTCAATGGATAACGTATGATTTAAGATACAGTGGATATCGTAATGCCAACGTATGAATTGATGAAGTCAGTAATTGATTCGATGGAATCAGTTACACTCGACGTACATTCTGTGAAGGGTGAAAAATATTACAGATGGCAAGAGAAAAAAGATAAAGCTGTATTTCGAGGTCGAGATTCCAGTGAAGTATGCTATTTTCTCTTCTCAAACACAAATGTCCTGTAACTACTGAAATTTATGAGATCGATCTCGAAAAAATAACAAAAGTCAAGTAATCTGCTCATATAATGTATGTTATTACTAATGAAAAAGTATTACCAGTTTATTTTCGAGTAAATGAAAAGGTTTTTATTATAGTTGAGACTTAAAATAGCGAAGCTATCAAGATCATATCCCAAACTTTTGGATGCAGGAATCACGCAGTACTTCTTTTTCGACGAAGCTGAGCATACGCCAACGGTTGAAACAATACCACTGCCGGATTTCTTCAAAGTTATGTTCTCTGTTTTATTCATGTTATTTACGCATGATGTCACTTAAATGACGTGAAATTTCAGTACAAATTTATACTAAACATCGATGGGACAGTTGCGGCATATCGCTTTCCTTTTCTGCTGGCTGGAGATAGCGTTGTTTTCAAGTCGTTCTCTGATTATTACGAGCACTTTTACATCGACCTCGAGGAAGGATTGCATTATTTCCATTTTAATGATTCCACTCTCATTGAACAAATCAAATGGGCAAGGACACAGGATCACAATAAGGTTACTTTACTTACAATGCAACCAACCATTCTTTATCTAAAATGAGCGTACTTTTTACTTATCAGGAAAAAGGCTTAGCTTTTTACTTTCTAAAAGATTCAATTGAGAACGTGGAATATCTGTGCTGTACTGCATTGAATTTAAATCTGCCATATCAAGCTTTTCATTCTATAAGAAGCGCATCATTTCTTACTTTTTACAAATGCGCTTCTGCCTGTTTCAGACATTAAATGCAATGCATGAATTTGTGCTGCAGCACCTTCAACCTCTCGATATTTACTGCTATTATGCCGATTTTGTGCAGGTTACTTCCTTATAAATTCTAAATTAAATTCTCGAAGCTAAGTTATTTCTCTCAAAGAATTTGCAGCACCACGAGTTTAACTGTAGTACTAAATTTGCTGAAATTTGTGAGTAAACAAATTCACTACCAGTTATATTTTAATTTCTAATTTTTGAATCGCCAAAGAATCTGAAAATTTTGCACTTCCTTATCAAC